GGATCCAGGGGAAGACGGGGTATTGACTCAGATCGTTGTAGGATCGCCCTAAGAAAGTACACAAAATATATTTAAATTTAGAGTAAATAATAGGAGGTATTTCCTTACCTGCGATAGTGTTCAGGTACATCAAGTATTCAAAATTGGAAATCTCACGATTGATCCACCTCTGGGTGAGGCCCGAGGCTCTCAACAGTTCAGCAGGAGATCTTCCAGAGCCATAGAGGATGTTTGGAAGCGGCAGACCCACGATTTTTGTGAAGACTTTATTTCGAGTCTGGAAATAACCAACAAGTTTATTTTCCTTACTTCTTATCAAACTGTTAGGATAAACCCACCTTTGTTGTAAAGTTAAGGAAGTAGCTGGTTTGATCTACCAGGAAGATCTCCAGAGCACTCCTGCGTAGGTTGTATTTCCTCAGATGAACCTCTCGTATTTTATTGGTGGAGAATCTGAAGTCGTATTTGGATCCATCATCCGTTGGTGGACTTAGATCCACAAAGGTGAACACGCTTTGGTTAACCTCGATGCGGCCTTTCACTTTGGTCATCAGGGTGATCAGTTCACAATCCTGTGACATGACTAGTTTCTCCAGAGCCACATCCTGTTGAGCCTGAGTATCGATCAACTGACGTAGCTCCTCCTCCAACTGAGAGCTCTCATCATCCGCCAAGAAATCGCGCACCACTGCATTCTTGATGGTGGAGTCGAATTCGGAGATTTCCCTGTGGTTCATAAATTAATAAGAATATGAGTTTAGGGATCTTATGTTTAGGATTGGTTGGTCTTACTTGGGATCATAAGCACTGGTTGCATTATCACGCAGATTGGCGGCGTTCTCATGTTTATTTGGGTATAATTGAGGTTCCAACTTCAGACGCATTCGCGCCACGTTCTCATGGGGCGATAGCTTCCAGAACTCCTCCTCCAGATCCCTAAAAAGAAAACGAAAAACATAACTTATAAAAAAGTTTCTTAAGGATCAATTTATATCATGAAATCTCTTAAGATTTTAGACCCATATTAACTGTTAAAATTATAGTAAATGTTTTTAAGGAAACCCTAATAATTTCCTTTAAAAAATATATAGGGTAAGATATATATTCAAAAATAAATAAAATACTATGTGTTGTTTTCAGAATTTCTTTAATTTTGGGTTTTGCGATGAAAGTTATTTTAGAGCTCGACAATGAATAATCGAATATGTACAGATGAAAGTCCTTTGTCGAATTGCGGTCAATCCTTCCTTTGCGACTCCTTTTTCCTAATCCTCCTTAGGCAACAATGGGAGCGGCCAGGGTCTTGGCAAACACTGGGGCAACTGGGGCAGCAGCCACCACTGGGGCCACGGGAGCAGCCACGGTCTTGGCCAGAACTGGAGCCACTGGGGCAGCAGCCACGGGCACATCCTTCTGCACCACTGCGTTGAATCCGTTGATGGAGTCGGCGTAGTAGCTGACAATGCGACGGGAACCATCGGGCTCGATCAGAGAGTAGGATCCACGCACAACATCACCATCACGGGTCTCCTCTTGGGTCTTGGAGTCACCGGTCAGCGTGTCCTGGACATCGTAGGCGTACGTGTACTGTGGGTGAGCATCCACGATCTCGGTGGCAAGGGGAGCAGCAACTGGAGCAGCCAGGGGAGCGGCAACGGGGGCAACTGGGGCGGCCAGAGGAGCAGCAACGGGGGCAACTGGAGCAGCCAGAGGAGCGGCAACTGGGGCAGCCAGACGAGCAGCAACTGGGGCAACCGGGGCAGCCAGAGGAGCGGCAACTGGGGCAGCAAAGCGGGCACCAAATGGAGCAGCAAATGGAGCAGCGTAGGGTCCAGCGGCGAAGGGAGCGGCGGCGTAGGTCTTGGCCACCAGAGGAGCAGGTCCAGCAACCAGAGGAGCGTTGTATCCCAGGGGAGCCGAGTAGCCCAGAGGAGCGGAGTACGCAGCCGGGGCGAAGTAGGGAGCAGGTCCCAGGGGGGCGGAGTAGGCCAAAGGAGCACCCAGAGGGGCCCCAACCAGACCAGCCTGAGCCGAGAGGGCCATCGAGGAGAGGACTGCAACAACCTGCAAGAAGATCGGTGAAATTCCGGGTTAGTCTCCTGATATGAAGGGTCCACCGAACACACCATCATCACTTACCGTCAGAGGATTCATTGTAAGGCTTGGGTGGGGTTTAGTGCGATTGTCACCGTCGGTTATCGAAAATGAACTGACATACCTTTGACAAAAAGAGCAGCACTTTTATACCCAGATGCGTTCGCGAAATTTGCATGCGTCGCTCAGTGGAGGGAACTGCGTACCAATTGCGTATGGTAGGTATTGTCCCATTGTCTCCCTGCCCCTCTGATCATCCATCCACCACCTTTTGGGGCCTCTTCCTACCCAGCATTTGGCTGCCAGTGCCTCTGAACTTTTTGATCCAAATTCGCAGCACGTACTCCAATTTTCAGTCGTCTGTGGTATTGGCTACACCAAGTTTTCATTTTTATTTGCCACTGTTTTTGCCTTGTTCGGCGATCGAAAGTGAATGCGATTTGATTATATTTCGGAGCAGTAGTTTTCGGTAATTGTCATGCAGGTTCCATCCAATGGCAATGCTTTTAATTTTCCTCTTACACCAAAAACACGCGAGGCTCATAATTGAGATACTATGATGATCACGGGTTGACAAGGGTTCACACTTTGGGTCTTAACATTATTATAAGGTCTTATGGGAGAAAAGGTACCTTAACTTTAAACTTATCCTGTTTATATTGATTGATTGGGTTGGTCTTGTAATAAATTGGAAAGTTTTTTCACTTATTGGGTATCAATTACAAATGCTAATGAGCTACCTTTTATACATAATAAGGTTTTTTCTCCAAAGGGGTTTTCGTTTCGCTCAACCAGGTGAAACTGGGTCAATGTGGCCCAGGAATATCGATAAGGTAGTAAGCTATATGATAACAATATGATGATGATATGATCTAAAATTGTTATTCTGTATATTGAATAAGTCTTTGGAAGCTTGCAATATTTGGTAAGATCCTTTAATAAATGATAAAATCTCTTTTTTAATCTAATTTCTATAGCTGTTTAAAGTATATTTTACAAAAGAGGATCATTTTTTTCCTAAATATATTGTTTTTCTCAACAAATAGTCCACAAAAATCTATAATCTTTGGTATTTGCTCAACTCATTGGTTGATTAAAGATTCCCCATCGATTCCGTGCTGTAACTGGTGGCTGGTTTCGAGTTCGTGACTCTTTTCCAAAATGCAACCAACGACCTTGCGACTTGTTGGCTGCGGATTCACCTCGGAGAGCCCCAGAGAGACCCGGAGAAACATAGAGAGAGTGGCCAAAACTTGGCAGCAGATTATTCATCGGCTTACTAACGGTTTTCGACGTAGATCGTTGCCACCGGAAACTAGCATGGATATATGGATAGTCGTCCAATCTGGCCAAATGCGAATGGAATGCTCCACTGCCATTTATGCAGTTCCTTACCCAATCATTCGATTCTCTGCTCTGAGATGCGAATTCATTAAAAGTGGATGAAATACTGTCCACCGCCACTTAGCTGCCAATTGTGGGCAAGGTCGCCATGGTTAAAGCTTCCATATGCCATTTTGGCCCGATCGGGGCAATTACGGTGGCTAAGTGACCGGGCTCTGAAATGTGGGCGCTGGTTCTGTTGGTTCAGGTGGAAATATAAGATCGTTTGGGCGAGGGGTTAATGCGTGTGCGAGTGCGTAATTGCGCCTGCGCACCGCCCATTCCCTCCCCCAAACCATCTATCTAGACTTGCCATTTTGGTTTTCTAATTAAACGAGTGCCGAGTAAACGATTGATCTTTTTCAGATACTCTATCAGTGGGTTTTTCACTTTGTATGTTTCGGTTACCTAGAAAACATTATTCATACGCCACGTAAGCCCAAAGTAATACGCTTGCGTTTAGGCAACATGGCGTGTGAGTAATAAGCTGCGTATCTATATTGAAGGCATTCAAATTTGTTATACAATTATTATGGTATTTTGGTTAAACTCTTTCATAAAATTAATGAATATTACTATATTCAACTGAAGGTTTCATTTGGAGATTATATTATAGGCCTATTCGTGTTTGGTTCATATCTTATACCATAGCTCTTTAGTATATAATCAACAAATCTAGAAAAAAAAGGTTTTTAAGTAAAATAAATATTTATAATCAAGAACAGGGAGGGCTTTTTTCCTATTTATTAAGTTAATCAGTAGATTGTGAGTATGGTAACTCCTTAAATAATAAAGAGTCCTAAAATATTGCATATATTTTTCAGAATTATTTATTTTGGAAACATATGGTAAAATTATAATGATAAGCAACAGAACATATTATTCCTTCTTATAACAATTCATAAATGGACCTTCTTAATCCTTAGGGATTTTTAATGATTTTTTTAGAAGTACCCCTAACTGTTCTTTAACGTAATTTACTAAATGATCCTTATGGTCCTGACAAAAGTCACCTAAAAAGGTTTTCCGGTAAGGGTATCCAATCCTACCAAAAATCGATCCCCCTGCTCTTGTGGCAACTGCAACTGTCTCAACATGAGGCAGCTATTACATCAGACAAAGTTCGGCTGGAGAACCTGAGAATGTGCCGAAAAACGGCGAAAAAACGAAACCAGATTGGTCAGCGGAAAACGAGTCTGGTGCTGGTGGAAATATCTTGGTATCTTTGAGAGGCGCTCTTGAACGGACTCAAATGGTTTGCGTGGTGAGTGGTATGCCACTGCAGCAGCTATTCCATTGAGAAAACCATGCACTCATGATGAAATCCGCACCAGAAACACGAAATCCGCCATCAGCGATGGGGTCTGGGGTGCAAGATCGAGATCGAGATCGGGCAGTCACCAAATGAGACGCAATTGTCACTCTGCCCATTAGATTGTCCAGTTTTTTTTTTTGGCCTGTGGCTGCCGCCAGTTGGCGAATATAAAACTGAAGAGCTGGCGGAAAATGCATCTCACATTCGAGCTGAGTTCTCCCAGTGCAGACACCTCCAAAACAGAGCTCCCTCATCATCGCACATCCTTCGCCATGTTCGCCCAGGTGAGTTTCCCGAAAGGATTGGGATCTTAAGTTGGCTCTACTGATCAAGGAATTCCCCTCCCCAGACTCTGTTCTTTTTGGGACTGATCCTGTCCGCCGTGGTGGCCATTCCCATTGATCCCTATGGACTGTCTTCGCCCGGGCTCACCTATGCGTCTCCCAAATTGCTTGCTGCTCCTGCCATTTCCTATGCTGCTCCCAAGCTCCTGGCTGCTCCGGCCATCTCGTATGCCGCTCCTTCCATCTCCTATGCCCCCAAGCTCCTGGCTGCTCCCGTCGCCGTGGCCAAGGTGGCTGTGGCCGAGCCCTACGATCCCAATCCGCAGTATAGCTTCTCGTACGGTGTAACCGATCAACACACTGGGGATTCCAAGCAGCAGGAGGAGACCCTGGTCAATGGAGTCGTCCACGGTAGCTACTCCCTGGCCGAACCCGATGGCACCATCCGCAAGGTAACCTACACCGCCGACAAGGTCAATGGATTCAATGCCGTGGTGGAGAAGAAGGGCGTGGCCGCGGTGGCCGTTGCCAAGCCAGCTCTTGCCATCGCCGCCGTTCCAGCCCTCACCAAGATTGGATACGCTTCGGCGCCTGGCCTGAGTCTGGGTCTGGGTGGATACCACTAGGGGGATTATCTCCTGAGGCACCCATGAGCGATGACAAACTCTCTGGCCTAGTTTTTAGGACCACGTTGTTAAATAGTTATAATGTTAATATTATCGCCACTGTACACACTTGATTAACCCACTCTTCTGTCAGTCAAAACCCGAAACTCAATGACGTGCGTGCTGTTGCCCCCCGCTTTTGACCCACATTCCCCATTTCCAATGGGACGATCAGACGATTGGACACCATATCACCGATACACCACAGACTACGTTTAGGGATACCGTTCTGGGGATCTGGGGAACGGCTATCGGCCACTTAGCGAATTAGTATCTGCATTTACTGAATAAAAAGTTTCGGTACAAAAAAAAAGTTTAGATAATATTATATTTCTGGTTGAGGGTCTTTAATACTTTTTCTCAAATATTTTTCAACGATATCCAGAAAACTGGGACTGTAAGTAAATGGTATCAAAGAATCTTAAGCGAAAAATCTTCAATTTATTATCTGAATTCTTTATAAAGATGGTAATTGGGAGAATCTAAAAAATGCTCCATATTTCCCAGCTAAGCCGTGAGTTCCATTGTGGTAGGTTCAGAGCTCTACGCTAAGAGCTACAGATCTGAAATGCCAATCACGTAGTGTCAACTATATTTACGGTTATCACAATTCATATTGTAGGCGCTTAAGTGGAGGGGAGAATTGTGCAAGTTGGGCTCTATTTGTTGGCACGTCCATTGGGGAAACCTTTTGCAGGGGACCAGGCACAAAAATGGGCCATTACGTCAGCGAACGGAATCGTTTTTGGCAGCGGTTGCCACACGACGCATGTCTACGCGGGAATCGGGAGGCCCTTTATAACCCCGGTCCAATGGCAAACCAAGACAGTTCCAACAGCACCACCGAAACCACCAGTTATCCAACAATAAATCTAGTCATGGCCCTGATTAAGGTGAGTTAAGGGAATCCCTGACAAGGATTATGATTGAAAACATATTTGGATCAAATAATAATAATGGATCTATCTTATTAGATCACCCTTATCTGCTGCGCTCTGATCGCTGCCATCGAGTGCGCCCTGCTCCCAGCTGCCGTTCCAGTGGGAGTTCCCCTGAACACCGAGGTGGATCCGCATCCGCAGTACGCCTTCGCATATAATGTCCAGGATGCAATCACCGGAGACAGCAAGAGCCAGCAGGAAGTGAGGGATGGAGATGTGGTTAAGGGATCCTACTCCGTGGTGGATGCCGATGGATCTCTGCGCACCGTCTTCTACACCGCCGATCCCATCAATGGTTTCAATGCGGTGGTGCAGCGGGGACCAGTTCCAGTGGCTGCTCGTCCTCTGGTGGCTCCAGTGGGTGCCCCTCTTTTGGGTTAGATCCTCAATCTTCTAGAGCTTTAAACACTTGGAACCTAACTTTTATATAACTTATTGTCTGCTCCTTAGTAATAATAAAGTCAGTAAGCCAAAGAATATTTAAAATATTTAGGAAAAATCCTATGTTCATATAGTCCATGAATAACGAAACTTGTTCAGTGACTAAACTTTTAGTTTTACACTCTAGTAAAATCAAAAACGAGTTTACATTTGCACCTATCCATTTTATTAATTAGTGAGTTGAGCATGCAAGCTCAAGGCCTCAAATTTATACTAACTTAGTTAATGATAATGAACTAAATTAAAAGTAGTGCAAAATAACAAGATTCTGAGTGAGTGCATTATCAAGAGCAAAATATGCGTGTCATTAAGATGCATAGTATGTAGTTTTGAACTTGAAAATCAGTAAATCAGTATTTTAACCGTTAATTATATCATAACTTGGTCTAAAAGGCAACGTGTTCAGTGGAACTAATTACCTCGTGGAGTTATTCGTGACTTCATATCATGTTAAAACTGTTTTGTAATCTAAATTGTAACAACAGCACCAGGAAAAGACCAATCCCCCAAAGAAAGCTGGCCCATATCACAGGCCATTTTTCACTTACATAAGAAACCAATCTTAAATGGCTATCTCCCCCCAGCTGTCCCACGCCCAAAGAACTCTTCCACTCCAAATAAATACATTCACTCGCTGGCCCAACACGCACTCAAATTATTCAATAGCTTAATTGAAAGTAAAAAATCGGCACGAGATGCAATTTTTGGATTACGCAAACCCCAACCCGAGCATGTCCATACATGTTGCTGCCGGCGCCGACTGCAGCAGTAAACGGTGCAGCGGCAACTGCAGCAGTAACTGCAACTGCAACTGCAGCAGCGACTGCAACGCCTAACAAGCGGCGGTACGCGTTGAAAATTAGTGATAATGGGCAAAATTGTCCCAATGGCAACAGAGCGGTGAAACAGAACAAAATCCATACACTCAGGATAAAATTTGGAGTGATTTGCTAAAAGGTTCTATACTAGAATACTGACAGAACGAAAGCGGAGCAGCGGAAGAATCATTTCCCGGGGAAATCCCGCGGGCCTCTGCTGCTAACCACTGTTTTATATGCTTTACATAGAAATAGACGGTCTTAACCTTATAATAATGCAGCACATTTGGAAATAATCAAAAATTGAAATATTTTAGTTAACTAAATGAAAAGCGATCTTAAAAGTTTAAGTATTATAGTCAGATACCTTATAAAATGATTCAAATCATTAAACATATTTAGAAAAGATTTAGTTTCGTATATACTTGATGATCTTAAGTTAGCTTTGCTTTTAGAATTTAAGCAAATATATAAGTATTTTATTTCATATCCTCTAACAAGTTTTAAAATCATTAAAACATTACGAATTTAACAAAAATATAAGTTCATTAAAAAAGATACTCCGTAAGTAGGATAAAGTAAGTAATCGTTGCTTGAAGACATAACCTTTAAAATTCAAGAATTTATTTTAGAACTATCCGTTTTTTTTGCAAGTGCATTGAATGCGTCTGGCGCAGATTTTTGGGTGGGCGCGGCTTAGAGCGCTGCCAGCCAGTTTCGAAGGCTGTGCCCCAAACACACCTTTCAACAATCGACTGCTGGGTGCGTGTGCAGCTTCGCCCCGATCTGGTGGCCATAAAGCCGAGACATGGGCCATGGAGCATGGGACATAGAGCATGGGACATGGGAGGTACTGGTGCTCATGCAGCGCACCACACACCTGATCCGCCCGGCCACCCGGTCTGGGCCCAAAAAATTCGCTTTCGAATTGAACTTTTTTGTCACGACGACGACGACGGAGCAAATCAGCCGGCGTGGGACCAGTTTGCTTTGGTCCGGCACAGTCCTCCCAAACTCCCAGACATGCGTGAACTGCAGAGCACCTCCACGTCCACCTCCTCCTCCTCCTTCACCTCCTCCGGCTCCTCCTGAGCAGCCCCTTCTGATTGCCATGGGCAGCGAAAAATGAATTATTTTATATTTGTCGCGATCGATGCAAGTATTTCGCATAGACATACATATAGCATATAGACGCAGACTCCACACGCATGCGCACTTTTTAGTTGTTTATTATTTTGTGTGTCTTGTTGCGCTTTTTGCATAAATATCTGGTGGCAGGCGGCGGCGGAGGCTGTGGCGGATTTTTGGGCTCGCGTCTATGGAAGGCCTATAAAAAGCAATTGTCGTGCGGCCACAGAACCACAGATCGAGTTCATTTGTCAGTCGAGCAGCAGCAGTTCTCCAGCCATCCAGTTATCTTCAGCTCTTCAGTTCTCCATCTGAATCCAAAGCAAGCAATCCAGAATGGCACAGAAACTGATCCTCGTCCTGAGCGCCCTGGTGGCGGTGTCCTCCGCCGTGGTGGTTCCCGGTCCCGGACTGGCCCTGCCCGGCTACCCGGCGTATCCCTCGTATCCGGGACTGGCCAAGGTGGCTGCTCCTCTGGTGGCCAAGGTGGCGGGCCCGGAGCCCTACGATCCCAACCCCCAGTACACCTTCAGCTACGACGTTCATGTGAGTCAGAGTCATATAAAATGGCCATAAGAAGTTCTTAACCCATTAGTCACCTCATAAAAAGCAATGTTAAATCAATAATCTGCTTTAGAAATCAATTGGCTTTGTGTGCAACCAGTATGCAAATTGTAACGTTTGACAGACATTTTTATGAAGTGTTTATTGGAGCTTAGAACTATTAAATCAGAACATATAGACAAGTTTGATATTATTAGGACAGTGTTCAGGCACTCATGTTAAAATGTTTGAACTTTTATCAAGACTATCCTGATTTTTCATATCAAGTTTAACATTTTTAAAAAGTTCTGGTTATTTTGTTATATGTTTAAAAGATTAAGGATTGTAAAAAGAAAGGCGTGGTTCCTATACAATTTTATATTTATTGTGCCCTCTTTATTTCCAAAAAGCAAGAATTTAGTTCAATTTGAATTTCAAGATTTTCTTACTCCTAAAAAATATGGTTCGTGCTCCTAGAAAGTTTCTTTTGAAAATACTTTTTAAAGATTTTCTATAGGGAATATTTCTTCTATAGTTCAAATATGGTTTTCTTGCTTCAAAAATATGGTTTTATAAGATATATTCTTAAGAATTTAGGGAATATTTCTTCTATAGTTCAAATATGGTTTTCTTGCTTCAAAAATATGGTTTTATAAGATATATTCTTAAGAATTTATTTATAAGGATTAGAAAATACGATTTTTTGATTACAATTCTTTTCCACAGGATGGATCCACTGGTGATGTGAAGAGCCAGCAGGAGACCCGCAGCGGAGATGTGGTGCAGGGTGCCTATTCCCTGATCGAAGCCGATGGAACCCGCCGTATTGTGGAGTACACCGCCGATCCCGTGCACGGATTCAACGCAGTGGTGCGCCGTGAGGGGGCTGTGGTGAAGGCGGTGGCCCCAGTGGCCAAGGTTCTGGCCCCGGCTCCTCTGCTCCACGCCGCTCCTCTGGTGGCCAAGCTGCCCGCCTATGGTCCTGCTCTAAGCCCCTATGGACCAGCTCTGGCCCATGGATACGGTCCTGCCCTGGCCCCCGCCTACGGACCTGCTCTGCCCAAGCTGGCCCTGCCCGCTCTGCCCGCCCTCTCGCCCCTGGGCTACCACTAAGTCAGGGGAATCCCAACCGGATTTATATGCAAACCCCCCCGAATGTTGCCGACCTCTTGCCGCTCCCGAATAATGGACACATCGCGACCAACTTCTCCTGTCACGTGGCCTCCAGTTAGTAGAAGGTGGGCCACGGGCCGATCGTAGTCGATAGTAGTTGTAGTATTAGTTGAAATGAAAGCGAAATATCGAAATATGTACATACGAATTCACGGACAGCGGGTTTGGGGACTCCAAACTTTTGGGTCCCCATCCAATGTCCCCTCATCTACACTCACACATTCTCGACGCCTTTCATTTATGTTTCTTGTCTTTTTAATCTTAAGGCTGTTTGACCGCGATAAAAACTCTTTAATCCCCAACTTACAATCCCCGTTTCAATTCTTATTTAATCCGAGCCTGTGCACTCGAGTAGAACTCGCAGAATAAGAAACGAGATTGCAATAAACGAACCGAAGCTATGCAAATGGAAAGTTATGGAGTTTTCTTTTGGGAAGGGGAAAAAGTGTGGAAGAAGGTATAGGATTGTCAATAACATTTTATCTTTAAAAAAAAAAAGTTTATACTTAATTGAACGGGAAAATTATAACTGAGACAGCAAAAAAGTATTTAAGTCATACAACTCTTGTGTATAAAAATTGTTTACTGCTGTAAAAATGTGAAAAACTTTAAGGTGTTACATATATTTGTATAGAATTATATAAAAATACCATTACCATCAATAGGATTAAAAGATTAATTGTAAATATATGCACATCGAGGCATTTTAATTATTAGACATCCAATTTTATGTGAAATCGTCAAAAAATGAACAACTTTTAAGGTAATCATAAAATAATTTATTTTTAACCTTTGCCTAAGTTTTTTTACAAAATCTCGTAATCAATCAAATATTGATGGAAATCGGGCTTAAAAATAAAACGATTTTACATAAAGTCCGATGTCTATTAATGATGATTATATATAGAAAAGATAATGAATATTTGATGGGAATTTTAGTTGCTTATAATTATGAAATAAATAATTTATGTGGTTAAAGAAAACAACACGTAATACAAGAAACCCTACTATTAAAAATATTTTTTTAAACATTAAACACCTCAATGTTTTTGAAATTAATTTGGTGCTATATGTTCATGGGTAATAAAAAAATTAAATAAATCTATTTGCAGAGTTTGTAAACATAATAATGGTTAAAAGCAGCTTTTAAATGCAGTTACAATTATCCAAATTACATTTATTTCTCAATCATTGAATGTTAATCGGTGTTATTAGAACCAAAATGGCTAAAAGTCAATGGCTCGTAGGCCTTTTGCTTTGCCAGCACATGTAATCCATGTTAATTTTGGGACATGTGGTGGACTTTTCTGTGAGTGGTTCGACCTTAGAACAGAACAAGCCCCACCTGAGCGGGTCACCATGGCTACTGGCTGCAGTTGGTGGTGCAGTGGAGCCCCGGCTAATCGCTCAAGGCCCGGGCCACGCACCTCACAAAACTGCGTAATTCGAGCGTCAATGCAAAGTGGTCTAAATGAGATTTATGGGGCTCAGTTGGACTGGAGAACACAGCGCTGCAATCCGATGGCCAATCGATCCGATCGAGTAATTGGCAACCGGCCACCGGGCACAATGGAAAACTGGAAATTTGATTGCCATTCGCCGCGCCCCAATCAATTGCTTTGGATTGGGATAATTCGATCGGGCCTATCCGGCCAATTCGGCCAATCCGCCAGAGAACTGACCTCCATCCAGTGGACCCCACCTCTCGTCTGCACATCATCTGCGTGGAGCAAGCGCCTTCAAATATGTGCATATTTGTTTATGTAAAAATTTATGGATCGCATAATGGGTTTTCGTTACATTTGCACTTGCATAATACATGCGACGGTGCTTTGTTGCATTCGACATTAAACGCTTTTGATGATTTAATAAAATTAAATTGAAATGTTAATAGCGACACGGCATGGGCGGGAAAGTGGAGGGGCCGAACCAAAAGACATGGGCGAAAGCGTAAGACAATAGGCGAGCTGCAGCTCCAAAACAGCAGGTGTTACAATGGGCCCAGAAAGCACGGAAGGGGGTTATAAAACGAATGAAAGTATTGCGGAAATGTGAAGAACCCTTTCTCATTAGCTCCTTATAAGAAACTATCTAGGATTGACCAATTATCAAAACAGTTTCTAAAATATTTTTACTTAATCTATAAGAAAAGTTGGTTTTAAGATTCATTATATATTATATTTGTACTTGAAGTATAAAAAAAAGCTTGTTTATAGCTTAAAGGCACTTATAGGGGTTCCCCTTAAATACTTTCTTATTTATAAGGTGACAAAATCAACTTAACACCAATAAAATGTTTTATTAAAGCGGTGAAATTAAATAGAATCCAAAGAAAATTTAAAAATAGACATCTAACAATAAACAAAAATAAACAAATATCTTATTAAAAAAGCACAGACTAGTCCCCACCAATATGATAATCTCAAAATCTCACCACTAATCTCTGGCGGATGAATAAATTTAAAAAAGATTTGCTGTTAAGATTGGTTTATTATAAATGCCCATCAGACTATCACCGATTTGTGGCATTGCTTTGACGGATTTCACCCATTGTGGCAGTGGAACTCGGGCATTCACAACCTACTAATCGTATGGTGGTTACCACCAGCCGAGAGTGTTGATGATCATGATGACTCGTCGGCTGGGGGACTTGTGGACTCGATGGTCTGCCCCTGTTGGCGTCGCTGCAGACTTTAATGATTGAGAGGGATTTGTTTGCATTTCGCAGTGAAATTAACGCAAAGCGCGGTGGCTTCTGGCCATGTTTGAGTCTTCGAGTGGTTTAGCGGTGTTTGGAATCACGAGTGTGTGCCTCCAGGTGATTAAGTGATCACGCACACATGCAATACTGGTAATATGAGTATAACCGAGTATAACCGTGCACGCTGGCACGCTCGATTACAATTGTCGCCTCGAATGCGAGGCGGGCAATTAAAATGCTGAATTTCGCGTCATTTCATAATGAAATTGGGGCGGGCCCGGTGACGTTTACAGAGAGAAAAAGTTCCTAAGATTTTGTTACAAAGAAGATAAAGATACTTTTAAGTTTCATAAAAGTTTGAAAAAATTATAACCGTATTTTAAATCAATAACTTTGTCTTCTCTGAAAGGTGACAAACACCATATATTATCCCTATCATATCTACGTATATACCTATAACGAAATAAAATACTTAGAATCTTAAAAAGTATATATTTAAGATAAGACTTAAAATAACAAAAAATATTTATTTAAGACTTTTCATAATGAATAGGCTTTCCATATATTATTCATATATTCATGTCATGTTCCAATATGACAAACTCAAAAATGTTTACCCCTAAGTTTTGGATATTGATTTGTATGTCCTTTAAATAAACACAACCTCAATAGACAGGCAATACCTTCTAATCTGTGTGCTATATCTCAATACTCTGGTTATACCATATTTGCACCTTTCTTCACTATCTCTAAATCCAAATTCATTTAAGATATCCTTAATGTTTGTGTTTTAATTTTCTATTCATTAGACTTACTTTTACACAGATAATGTTACCACTTTCCTTATAATGCTGAAATTTTTAAAAACTTAACTCGAGAGCCCCCTATTAAACAGGATTAGGTTTTCTTTCCGTGTAGTAATAAATAGATGTGCTTGAAAGACTCACCCGGTATACCAGGGTCCGCGGGGGCCGTACAAGAAACGCTTGGCGGTCTTCCACCGCTTCCGTATGTGGCTGTCGACGGTCTTGTGGTGCAGTGCAGCCGCCTGCAGTCGCTGCATCTCCTCCACCTGGCGCACCTTCCACGGCATGTAGATCTTCTGCTGGAAGAGGCGCCGGTTCTCCGCCTGATTGGTAGCCCTCTGCTTGGAGGCCGCCTTGCAGGCCTCATAGCATTCCGCCCAGAATCGGTTGATCGGCTCCCACAGATGCAGCTCGATGTCGCGCTGGTAGCGATCATACATAGGCTTCACCTGAAAGTGTGAGAAATTCAAGATCAGTACACAACAAGAAATTAGTTACAACTCATTATTAAAATAAATGAACATGTTAAACATTTTATGATAACCATATTTTAAGGGTTAATAGAAAAATACTTTAGATATTTGTTAGTACTTAAATTATTATCTTTAATATTCCACTTTTTGATACCAGAACTCATAAATGATACAATATTATTGATAAAATCTTTCAAATTTATTAAATAGGTATAGCTAGACTGAGTTAAAATTCGTCGGACACCCATAATTTTCGACCTATTTTATTAAGATCATCGATGTTTATAAGAATGCTTCATCCATATAATACTACCAATGGTACTACTTGGCATTCGATCAATAAAATCAAGTGCTAGTGTGATATTTTCTTTCAGTGTGTGAATTGTGATGGAGATCAGGATTGACGATTATGGCAGCTTGAATTTGTTTTCGCTTTCATTCGATTCGGGGGCAGTCTTCGTGCGTGTTCGAGTTCCATCTGCTGGCGGAGCGATCTGATGAAGTCCATGTCCAAGTCACGTCCGGTCAGGTTCAAGTTCAATGTGCATATAGCTGCGGGCACAGGAAGCACTCGATTGCAGTTGTGCAAACCAGTTAGACGCGCTCCTCGCTAGCTGTTTGTTCGGGGTTCGGGGGTTTATTTAACGCCGATCTTTGCCAGTTATCTAGCGTATCCAGGAGGCATCCGCATTGCCATGGTGCAGGCAACACGATGGGAGGTTCTTTGCATAATCCACCATCGCCTACAGCGAGCTATCCACTATCCACCGTTCCAAGGCACTGGGCACACACGAATTAAATATATAAATTAAAACGAAAACAAAAGAGCAAAGCAAAATATTTCTGGTAAAATCTCTGCCAGGTGGGTGCATCGGCAGCGACGCCGCTTTGTCATTCGACTGGTTCCAGCTGCGCCTCTTCGAGCCACAAAACCAGACCACTTTCTTGGCGCTCAGCTCAGTTGCCGAAAGAAAGTCCGACGAGTCGTGACCGACCGGGAGCCGCGAGGAAAATTTCAATCTCAATCTCAAACTCAAACTCAAAAACACCAGATCCAACTTGGATTTTGGAATCGCTGAGCCGCCGCCGCCAATGAAAGTTGTGTTGATGTTCGCGTCGATTTTGGATTTTGTTTTTCCAAACTCCACTACTGCGTAGAGTTTAGTTCGCGTTTAGTCTACCGCTCAAAATGTGCAATTTGTTTTGGCTTTCGGCCTGTTTTGTAAGTGGTTAAATAATATGTGAATTAATTATGCTGCCGTCTCTTGTGTGCCGTTGTAAAAGATCTTATTTAAGAGGAAAAACTAAACTTTGATTTTTAGCAAACGATTCTGAAAATCATAGAAGTTATTGTGAATACTGTACTGTATTCCACTAAAAACTTTTATCCTTTTGTTAATATTATAATATCTTATATCTCATATCCATGAATCTTAGTAACGTTTAACGATTCCTTTAAAAAAAAGTATTCTTAAAAGGGTAGGAAAGATTTTATAGATTTCATTTATTTACTACATAATTAAAATGAAAGCCTTTATTTAGGTAACATTTTGTATAAACTATAGAATAATCAATTTTCCGGAAGCATTTTTAAAGTTCTAGGTTTATAAAACTCCAAGATATACATTTTTCAAAGAATAATACTTCTCGAAGTATGGATTTCTTTTTCTCTACTTTGACCCATGTTATAAGCATGTTCCTCAGACCAACAATGTAACTTTCCGATATATAGGTAATTTTCACACATTGTTAGCCAAAACCTAAACAAGTCATGGCCAAAAACAAAAGCCTGAAAACCAGCTGCAAGCCGATTTGCCCACCTGAACCTGGGCGATGATCAGGTTCAATGCTTGGCTCCTTCGGGTGCCCAATTCCATCTCCTCCGCTCCCAGCCCCCAATCCCTCCTCCTCGAGGTGGGATTGCGTGAGACCAGCCAGCCGGCAAAGTCCCCCAGCGATGCAACAATTACGAGGAGCCTGGCGAGCAAGACTCGTGACTCGATTGCCACTGGTGGAGGTGATGGCAACTATGTTACGTGTGAAGAGCTAGGGAAACCGGGTGCCAGGGAGGCACTGAGGCGGAAGCCACCGTCGAGAGTCTCAGTTGGAAAGTCAAAGGTTGCCCACATAAGACAAAAACCACACAGAGATGACAGCGTTTAAGTTCGGAGGGAGAAAGTTTGTGTCGTCTGATGACATTTTTTGCGGAAGACTAACCCACTCACCCCTTGCCCTTTTCGTATCTTCCCTTTCCCCGTAGTTGGCAATGTGGTTGCCCTTCGCCCTGTGCGAACCCAATGCCACAAGTGTGGAGTCGAAGGATCCCAAGACTGAGCAGAATAAAGAACTGGTGCCCACGGCGGAGAAGCTGATCCGATACCGCCGACAGCCACCTTACGCTGTAATCAAGCGATCCAAACAGCGCCGGCGGACCAAGGGTCCACCCAAGATCAAGTATGGACCACCACCGCCTCACATTCGATACTCGAAGCCCTCGTTCCCAGCACATATCGAGGAACCCAGCTTTTCGCTCGATGACTTTCAGCACCTGAAGTTCGATGGTTCGGACTTTAAGATCCCTTCTTCGGGTTACGAAGCGCAGTCCATGGATCTGGATTTCTATAACCACGATACGGAACCGGATCTCTATGGAGCACACAAGTTCCCGAGCCTGGACTTTGGATTGGTCACCACCCATGAGCATGTGCCCCACCAGAAGTACGGATTGCCTCCTGTGCAGCAGAGCTTCCAACCGGATCACTCCTTTCCCACGCACTATGAGCCACCTCCGGCTCCGGCTCACCCGCCAGCCACCCGCTACGGAGTACCCTCTGCTCCTGTAGAGGTTCCCAGCTATCCGCATCATGACCTGCCCGCTCCAGACTCCTATTCCATTTATGAGCAGAAGATACCGAATGTGGGCTATCATCAGAACTTTGCAGAGCCACCCAAACATCCGCCTAAACATGGTTCTAATCAAAATCCTAATTTTGAGATTGCCTATTCCCCTCCTGCCTTTGAGATCAGCACTTCGTATCAGTCGAATCACCAGCAAAGCTACGTGCCACCTCATCCCTCGCAACCCCATGAGGGATTTGCTGAACCACCGTCCAACAATTATGTAAAGCCTCCTCCACATGCTCCAGCGAATAGCTATGCTCCACCTCAACATCCTTCTTCGAGCTATGACCAGCCTCCACAACATCCCTCCTCCAGTTATGATCAACCTCCCTCGCATCCTTCACCCAGTTATGATCAACCACCCCAACACCCCTCATCCAGTTATGATCATCCTCCTCAACATCCATCATCCAGTTATGATCATCCTCCTCAACATCCATCATCCAGTTATGATCATCCTCCTCAACATCCTTCATCCAGTTATGATCATCCTCCTCAACATCCCTCATCCAGTTATGATCATCCTCCTCAACATCCTTCATCTAGTTATGATCATCCTCCTCAACATCCCTCCTCCAGCTATGACCAACCACCACCTGACTACCAGCATCCGCCTTCATCCACCTACGACCAACCACCGCAACATGTTCCTACAAACTATGTGTCCGCCGATACCCATTCCATCAATAGTTATCCCCAGGACGACTATGCTACTCCCTCGCAGGAACTGCCCTTAAATCCACACCACAAGTTCCCAAGCTTTGATTTTCCAAAATCCAGCTACGAAGTGCCCATCTATGATCCGGTGCCCTTTGAGGCCTCCAACCGAGATGAGCAGGAGTCCTATCCTCCCATTTTGGCATCCTCACCCGATCAGAATGAGATAACTTCAGATGCCCATGCGGCTGGAAGTTCCAAGCGGCGGAAGAGGAAGCGAAGGCCAAGTGCTGGAGTTGTGCCTGCAAAACATACGTTGGATGTTCCCGAGCTCAAGCAGGCCTATGATGCGGACAGCCATTCGGGGGAGTCGAATGAAAATGCGGATACGGATACGAATAGCTCACACTTTGTGGAGAGGAAGCAGACCTTCTTCAACTTTGTTACGCCCACGACGACGACGTCGACTACTCCGGCTCCTTGGAGTCCAATGAGGGGCAGGAGTAGTACGACCCGAGGGGCATTCATACCCACCGTTGTTACAAGTACTCCAGCAACCCCTACTACAGCTAAGAGTAGGAGTAGGGGTTCATCCCGGTATCGCATAAAGCAGCAAGCCGTGAATCCCAGCTCACCCGATCCCGTCACCACCAGCGTTCGAATCGATCAATCCCATTCGCAAAGCTACTACGATGGAACCATTGCACCACCCACCAGACAGCAGTTTTCACCCACAACTGGAGGGCGTGGTTCGCGACCTACACGACCTGGTTACGTTAGGAACCACGGTCCAGTATCACCGCTGGCATTGCAGCCAGCAGATCCTGGAAGAGGTCACCCCACATCCAAGCGAACCACCAAGGGCGTCTTCGACACGACCTTGTTCAAGAGCCCACTCAGCGATCGGGAAATGGAACGAAATCTCCATGGGCTGCGTCAAAACTTGCCAAAAAATCACAAACTATTTTGAATTCTCAATTAAATTAACAGGAGGCATAGCTTAAAGACTTGGTTAACTATTTCTTAGACTTTAGCAATTAGTTGTAATGTTGTATTGAAAACTAGGCTTAGATTGTTGAATAAATTAAATAAATTGAACGAGTAATAAAATAAACTATAATTTATATTACTAAGAACCTTACTCACCATGCGTTCAATAAAGTTCCTCCATTTTTTGCTGGTGCTATACATTTGGAAATCATTGAAGAAGACAGGACCAGAGGAAGTTGACGGCAGATCTGGGAGAGTGGAATCCAGATTAAAAGCAAAGCGACACTTCTCCAGCAGGGCTTTCATCACAGGCATCAAGAAAGAATACTCCTCCGGATTGCCAACTGTAAAAATAATAGTTACATTTTAAAATAGATACCATACAAATATTTTTAAGAACCCACCTTCAATGGCATTATCCAGAGCCCTATTGATGCTAAATAGCAGATAAGAGAGCTCTGCTGGATCTTCGGTAGAACGACTTTGGAGAATAGCATGCAGTTTGGCCGTTGCCATTGCCACAATACCAGGATTCGGGTGATGTGAGCACTTGAGCAGCAGGCCCAAGCACAAGCGAATCATATCCGACCAATCGTCTGAGGATCCCTGTTGGAATATCATCAGGGCGTCCAGCAGAGCTAGCACGCCGTCCAATAGCTTGGTGGAACACTTTTTCGACTCGTCTTCGTTTGAGCCTAGGACCACCAGTTCATAAACCATGCGCAGGATGTGCGAGGCGTTTTCTTGGTTGACTAGCGTCTGACTGCCGTGCTCCGAAAGATCGAAAAGCGAGGCCTGCACGGCCATCTCCAAGATCCTCAGGCGCAGCGAGAGATGCGAGGTTATCAGCTCGTTGTTCAGGGCCAACAAATTGATGCAGCCCAGCACTTGGCCACGCTCCTGCCAGCATTGCGGATGATCATTAGGGATACCACGCCAAAAAATGTTGAATAGTGTATTTGAGACTAGATAAACCAACTGCTCCTCGGTGTCCACATCGCCATCGGCCACAAAGTCAAAAGCAGAGGTGCTCTGTTGGGGAATAGACGAATTTAATACAAAATATTGTATCCAGAAAGGGTTATTTTACCTCCATGGAGTCACTTTTCTTGGGTGGCCCATGCGGTGACTGCGTGGAGCTGTCGGAGCTCAGCGATTCCTCTCGCTGAATAGAAGGCGTATGCGAGCCATCGGCGGTGTCCGTCGAGCTGCCCAATGTCAAGGACTCGAATGTGTCCTGCAGATCATGGGTGGTCTGCCGAATGACCGAGAACAGACTGTTGGCATTTTCGACCACTGCTCCAGAGACAGATTCAGCAAGTTCTAAAATTGAAATAAATTAAATAATTTACCATTAAGGATATATACACTAGTAACCTTTAATTTCACTCTCGATCACAGTGGCTGCCTCCGAAACGCTGGCCTGGATTTCGTTAAGTATTAGGCCACTGTCACTAAGCTCCTCTTGCTGCTGCTGCTGCAACTGGGCCAGGCCAATCTCCTGCTCCGAGAACGTGATGAGATCGGCCTGGGCCAGAAAGGTTGAGTTATCTTCCAGGAGTACGTCCAAGTTGATACCAAAACTTCGTCGCTTCTCATCGTCAGGCGGTGAACTGGTAATGGGCTTCCGAATGAGCAGACGGGCAATGGACTCCTGCCAGCCCGTTTGCTTTGCCATCGCGACTGTGGAATGCTGCTTCACAAAGGTGGTTTGAAGCAGTCGCTTGGCAATCTCCAGTTTTACGGGAAGATCACAGCTGCTCACGTGATAGACCAGGAATATAAGACCTGCATAGTCCGGCTGCAGTCCCAGCATTTCATCAACCAAATGGAAAAGTATCGTAGAGCTTAGGGATAATGGTGTGATGAAGGAGAAAAATCCAGGGAACATGCTCTGCTCGGTAGCCTGATCGTACAATCGAAGCACTTGCTTATACTTCTGATGAACTCGTGATGTGGCCAGTAATCCACTGATGAACTGAAAACATAAAGGTAAGTGTTAGCTTCTTTTCATATTAATTGAATATTTTAAATTTACCCTAATAGCTGCTTCCTGAATTTCATTATTGTAGCTCTTATCCACGAAGAAATTGTAAATAAGATTGGCGGACTGGGGCTCGTGCAGAAGAAGAACCATCTGATCCTTACAGTTCTTGCCGCGCACATAGAATGTCATCATTTCCAGGAACTCGACAAGTACCACATCCTGCCGCACCGATGCCAAAAAGGCAATCATGGAGTTCACCTCCTTGATGTTTACTTCCTTTTGCAGATAGAACTTAATGATGCCGAACAATGTGGCCCGAATGGTCTTTGCATCGTCATCGGTGATGCTGTCCGGCGTGGAGTAGTACTGACGCACCACATCCAGCACAAACTGGACGCCATACCGTTTGCGGAAGAACTTTCTATCGTTCTTAATCATGGCACTCAAGTATTGGGCATGGCCCAGGGTGATTTGGAACTGCAGTCGCGACCAGATAGCAAAGTCAAAGACAATGTGAGCGTACAATGCGTCCAGGAGCTGTCCGCCCGCTTCCGCCTTGTGTCCTTGCAGCGACTCCATCAACAGGTGGGTGGCCATCAACGCGTTAACATCGAACAAATTCGGCGGACAGCGTTGGAGCATCGTGCCCACAATGGCCAGGCATTCGCTACTCAGCAGTTGCTCTTGGTTAGTTTCGTGCTCGTGGGTGAGGTAGCGCAACAGGCACAGGAAACTGGCCAGCGGGTGCTGCAGCATCTTCCACTCAGTGTACGAGTTTGAGGAGAGCATCTCCCAGTCGGTGAACTCCTCCCCCGAGGGCGTTGGAGCGCAGGACAAGGACTCCTCACTCACGCTGCCAATGGAGATGTCCGCCGTCTGATCCGATGTCACCAACCTATGCAGGATGGGCAGTATTGCACTGATACCTCCGATACTGTTGATTGTCTCCTGTATCTTTACGATCTTGCAGTGCTGAGCATTAATCCTTCCCGGATACTTTCCGCCTGGTATAAGATCCTGGCAGGTGCCATGCCATACTGCTCCTGGAGCGTAGCAAAAAACAAAGCGGGAGTTGAGTTCCAGCAGATCATTGTCCTGGGAGAAGATGGAACTAAAATTGGATCCCGCATCGAAAATTGTCTTTAGACTGGTGGTTGGATCTGCTAGCAACACACCGCCCAGATGTCCATGCAGACAAGTTTGCTCCCCAAACACTGTATCCTGCATTCCAATGGGAAAGTTTTTCACATTAGGATCAAAGGCAGTCTGGGTGCGCATGGGCAGGGTGAAATAGTTGGATACCTTAAAGAATAAACTAAGTATGAAATTTAAATTTTAAACCAATAGTTAGAGTCTTACATTTGCAGAGAGGGTTCGTTCCAAGAGACTAGGCAGCATTCCTTTGTATCCACTAGATCCGCTTTCCTGGGACGAGGACCTGGGCATAACCCCTGTCTTTGCCACTTCGCCAGCCTGTGGTGGCGCCACGACCGCTCCAATGGAGCAGACTGTAAAGGGTTCATTAACTGCCTGAACTTTTAGAGTGGCACTCAGTTTTTGAACGAAATCCACATAGATATTAATTTGACTATAGGAAAAAGGTCGCTTTGGCGGAGTTATGGCCACAGTTAGGTAATGCCATTGGCCATCCATCAGTGTCTTGGTGGCGGTAGAGGATGTGAGGTATTCCCGCCTGGTCAAAGCGGCCACCACAACGTTTCCATTTGGCTGCACAAAGACCTCGAAGCCACTGCCACTAACTGTCTGCAGTGTGAGCAGCATTCGCCGGCTGCTCGACTGGTCCTTTAGCTGATTGAAACGCACCAGGATGTGGAAGATAAAGCCATACGAGCCGGAGATGGTCCAGTTCCGAATGTCCGGCACCAGGATGCCGTCCGTTGGCTGCTCGATGGAGAAGTACTCGGCGCAGGAATTGCTGCCTCTTAAACTTTGCAGGGCAATTACCACAAGGGTCTGCAAGAAATTATATTATTATTAGGAAGTGGAGTTCAGGAAGAAGTTGAGTTTTACCTGCTGCAGCTGCTTGTTCTGTGGGAACTTCGTTCCCTGGCGCAACAATGTAAATATGCACTTTAGCTCCGCGGGCACAATACTGAGCTTGCTTAGTTCCTCTATAAGCTTAATGAGATTCTGAACACAGTTCTCGGCCAGAGATTCTGCTGTCAAGAGGCAGCCACACACAGCCTTGATGATACGACTACCACATGCCACAGATTTGCTGTTGAATAATAGGAAAATAGTTATGTATCTAAAGATTTAACTAATTTTAACTAGTTTACTCACGTTCCATAGTTGTCTGTGCAGCCCTTGAGCACAAGGTTGGTGACATGAAGCTGTTCCCGCTCCTGAAGCTTTGGCACCCAATTGAGCAATTGGAGCATAACCTCGGGTAGGAGCAAAAAGTGCCCACTTTCATCGTAGCCCAGCATAAAGCAAGTGTCCAGCAGACTCACAGTTGGATTGCCGAAATCCTGCAAGCTGGCGAAAAGCCTCTCGATGCGTTCACCCTGACGCAGCTGGGCAGCGGTTTGCGGGGAGTGACGAGTCAAGGTGGCCAAAGCCTCCATGGTGCTACACAATGTGCTCGAATGGGAGATGTGCCAGGGCTATAAGATAAGGAAACGATTAGTCCAAGCTAAGCTTGTGGTCTAAACCCTCACCTTTATGAGCTTTGGCAGACTGGTGAGCAGTTCCAGTAGACTGGAATCTGCAATTGCCTCGCTTACACCGGCATCGCCAGTCACAAAAAATTTCACAGCCGACACCGTGGATGAGAGTGCAGCCATGTCGATAGCCACATCCTGGTCAGCATCGCTGGCTATATCAAAGTTGGCATCCCCTCTGTCAAAGTGCTTGGTGGCCAGCAGCTCTTGGAGAGCATCACAATAAAGTTGAACTAACGTAACTAGGTCTATTTGGCGCTGTTTTAAAAGGAAAATGTGATAAGTATGATAGCAAATTTATGTAGCCAAGTTACTCACTTCTTCCGGACTAGATTTCTGCAGCACGATGACCATTAGGGCATAGCACTGTAGAGCCACGAGACGAGGATTGTGGGCACTCTCCCACTGCCGCAGAATACTCATGGTGATGGACACCGTGGCGGGGCAAATGGCCTTCATGCCATTGCGCTGATCAGACCAAAATCACCATTATACGGGTTGAATTCAACAGGGTCGTGGGACAGACAAGCAATGGCATGCATGGACAACGGTTAGGGTACAACAATGATCGGGACAACAGATGGTTCCACCACTCACCAAGTTATCACAGTCTAGCAGCCCATCACCCGAGCAGGGGGCAAGTGAAGAAGTGGTTAGAGCGTTAGTATTTCTATTTGTCAGGGTCGAAGACGAGTTTAGAGACTTCTGCACTTTCAACTGCAGCTGGAGGGGATCCAGCCACATCAACATAACACGAAATGAGACGAAAGTGGACATGGAAACAGAATGATAGAGCTCTAATGAACATTAATAGCGAAAGCAGTGAGCAGAAAGGAAAGCTGTCAGGAAGTGAGGTTAATAATTAAACGGTTTTTAGAGAGATAATAAGGACTACACAGGAGGGGACTGGAGACGCTTTCTGGCGCTACCTGCGAGCCGCAAATCACAGCGCCCAGGATGTTGAGCAGACTCTCGCCTATTTCCGCATATCGGATGAGCTTCTCCTCCTGAAAGCAATCTGCAAGGCAAAGCCATTCGTTAGTAAGTCAAACAATTAAAGAGCAGTGATTCGGAAAGTTTGGACTTTTTGGTTTTATGGACCTTTTAGGCCTTCTTACCATAAATAAAGGGCACAATTTCCACATGCACCGAGTGGGGTTTGTAGGAAAGACGACTGTAGTCGGCCGACTGGCCTCGCACAAAACTGCGCCATGTCAGATACGGATCGTACATGACCTCCAGGAAAGCCGAGAAGCTGCTAAACAGATGGCTTATAGCGGGCACGCTTTGAGGCAGCTCCATTTGCTAGAATTCATAGACAGATGCTTTGTGTTAGGAACCCAACAATGTGCTTAAAAGATCTACATACTTGTTTGAACACCCGGGAGAGTATGGCTATCAGATTGGGTTTGTACTCGTACTTGATGACGGCCAGAATGTTGTCAAAGTGCCGGCACACGATCACCAGGCAGTCCACAAGTATGGCCACCTGTTCGATGGCCTCCTCCTCCAGTGTTCCTTGCGTTTCGCAGGCATCTCTAGCCACAATGATGAACTTGCCGATGGCGGGCAGTAGTTCGTCCGGCAGGCGACCCAAATGTGGACCACTATCCGGCTGAACCTCGTGCCACATGGGGCAGTTCTCCGCCTGAAAGTCCAGCTGCAGTTGGCTCCTCCAAATGGCCACAAAGCGGGCCACAAACTGCCGGAAGTGAGTCTCATCGTTCTGGGAAAAAAGGAAAAGAGCGAAAGAGATAGATGCAAGGATTCAGTTTGAGCCTCTCTAGGATTATATAATCATTACACTGTTTACAGCACTTGAAAAGTTGATAAACAAGTGCTTTTTGTTTTGCGGTGACTAATGCTTTTAACATTTTGCGGCCGCCCCCGCCATCGGAGCACCTCCCCCCGCCACTCCACCACCCCGGAAATCCACTTCTTATCACTCGATTTACTGCAAATAGAACCTCACCTTTGTCGTGTACTGCACCCATAGGTTGTATATATCTTTCTTATTGTCCATCGTCGCGATTTCCCTGCAGTTGGCTCAGCTGAACGTCATTTGTTAATAACTAGTTGAGTTTTTTCGCTCGGCAAATTATTTGTTTACAAAAAAAATGTTGCCGACCGAGTGGGTCGGTTGTCCACAGCCCAGTTTTACTCTAATTCAGCGTTCTTTTCCGTGTTCCTTGTTGGAATCGGTCGTCTGTATAGTTAAGGTTATGGCCTGAATAGAGTAAGCCAGCCGTGATTCGGATTTAAGCACATTTACAATAACTTTTTGGGCAATTTTCACATTGCTAAACGCACAGGTGAAAACGGCAACAGCTGATTGCTTCTTGTTACTTGCCATTCACAACATATAGCTACTTCTCATTTGCCATTCACTAGTCGTTGGCAGTGTTGAAAAATGCGCGGGAAAATTGAAGTATATGGCGCCAAATTTGAATTTCTCTTGGTGGAACGGAAATAACCTGATTTACCTATATGAATTTATGGAAATATTAAGATAAATTGGTTGAACATACTCCAAATTCTATTGTTTCCTTGTAACCAAAATAAAACACCATAATACTATTAGGCTGCTAAATGCGTATTTATTTCGAGATTTTCATGTATTTGGTTTCAATTCTAGTAGCATTTTGTTATTTGTTTGTCTGTTTTACATGATATTAGCTAATAGTTGCGCTTCTGTTTTGCCATTGCTTGACTCTCGTTAACTATCCCCAACTGTCGTTAAAAACAAACGATTTTCTGTGTAGTTCATTGCCGCTTATCATAGATACATTATGCGCAAAAGTGCAGTTTATTGATGCGGATGCGGATGCTGATGCGGATGCTTCTATATGCCTAGGCAACGAATTTCGAGATTATTCGCCTTTGATTTTAGAAATGTCTTGGTTTGGTTTGGTTTTTTTGGTTTTGTTTGTTGTAATATAAAAAGGAAACGTTATTTTATATTTAATTTCAGACCTAAATTATTAAGATTTAATGCAATATTTTATTTGTAAGTTTTTAATTGAATAGCTTGAACCATTTGTAGGACCTATAAATATTCATTATCCGTTAATAATCTTAATAAAATAAATATGTAGAAGAAAAATCTTATGCCTCCGTTTCAGTTAGTTAAAGCTGTGAGTTTTTATCCGCATTAATTTGAAGGATAACAATTGTTAGTTAATTTACGTTAATTTAATTTTAATTTAATTTAATTTAATTTACTTCAAATATAGGCATTCGACTTGCTTTCGTTTATCATTACGTTTAAATTAAATACACGACGCTCTCCACTCGTTAAATTTAATTTCTGTTTTTGTGTTTTACGGTTTGCAGCACTTTAATGGGCATTACAATATTTAAAAAACCTCAGCGCCTCGATTTATCGATTTGTAAATAAGTTGCGCGCTTTATTCAGTTTTTCTTTTATTTGCTTTATTCGGATCTTTGGTTTTTGTGGGCAATGGGATGTGTGGAGTTTCTGTGTTTCTGCCTCCGAGACGACGACGATTGTTGCGAATAGAAAAATAATTCAAGTAAATATTTGTATATGCGTGTATAAGTATTATAGTTTTTCCTCTAGGTATATGAATAGCACTCCATGCTCGAGTTCTTGCGGCCTATGTTTATTGTATTTGTACCAATCGCCTAAGATGTGGCATTATCCCTCTATCCTCCAGATATCAGATACTGTGCAGATACTATAATGCCCGTGTATTGCTTTTTTTAGTGGCTGTGGGTGAGTGGCAAGTCCGGAGTTACTCCGGATTTCTAGCGTGCTTTATGTGGGTGAGTGGGTGTGTCTGAGTAGCTAGTTCATAAGGTAAATATAATCTATCATAGTTCATTTAGGTGCCGCTAACAGCTCTGAAGGTATTCAGGTTCGGTCGCATTCGCTGCGTTGTTGTCGATTGTTTCGGGTAGAAATACTTGGGGTTATCGCTTATCGGTTCTTTTGGGGTTTTCGATTTTTGTTTTGTTTTTTTGGGTTAGGTTGGGTCTCTGCTCCGATGATCTCCGCCTGCTCCGTGGTCCGTTGTCCGCTCGGCGGCCTACGAATCCAGCAGCGGCTCATTTTCCGAATCGGAATCTAACATTTTCCAGACCATGCGCCTGACGTTTCAGACTGCCGCCGTCGGCCCAGGAGGAGTTGAGATACTCGTCGTCATCGTCTTGCTCAAGTTTCTGAAACGAAAAATATCGAAAATGTTAGTTGTCCGAAAAATATAATATATAGTAGGTTTAGCCATAAAAACATAAATGAAATTCTATAAAACAGGTTTTTTTGAAGTTTTACTACTTTTCAGCTTGTGCCCATAAATGTATGCTATAAAAATTCATGTTGGCACATTAACGTATACGTAATATCCAATTATGAACTTCAGATAAATATTTGGTTCTCTATTTTAAGTGAATAAATTTTCCAATCTATAATAAATCTATTAATGTTTCAAATTCCACATTTTCACCAAATAATTTTAGGAAACTTCTTCCTTTCTAAAATAAGAATCTCCATAAAATATCCTTCCCCTTATAATAAATGTTCAAACTTGACTTGTTTTAATTAATAAATAGGTAAACGATTTATAAGAGTATTTAATTTTTCTTAACTATGATGCCTTTTTATAAAACCGACTTTAGTGTCAAAGAAACTGTAATTTTATCCCTTACAGCCGGTTTTTTCAACGAATCCCTTCACCACATCCTCCTTCTTACCCTTGCACTGAGTTGGACGTGGAGATAACTCCGTTCTCCAGCGAGTCCCTGGACAGCTCGTCGGCCATCTGGACCTTCAGCTGGTGGCCGAACGAGTTCATCTCCGAGTTGGGCGTCATCTGCGAGCCCGCCGGGCTCTGCGCGATGTACGGGCCCGGTGTGGTGACGGAGCCACCCTGCGATATGGAGGCGGTCATTCCTGGACCACCGTTGGGCAGGACACCCTCCAGGCAACTGTCGTTGGTGGTGGAGTCCATGTTGATGATCTGGCTGCCGGCCACGTTGTCCGCCAGCACGGCACCATCACTATCATCCACGGCATCGATGTCATCGATGTCCATGTCCTCGGCGTTCTTGTCCAGCGGCGCCGTCTCCTCGTCCTCGTTATAGATCTTAAAGTACGCGTACGTCAGATAGATCACCGAGATGATGAACGAGGGTATGGGTATGGCCATCGAGTAGACCAGATTCAAGGTGTTCTGCCAGTAGTCCAGGTCGCTGATGACCAGACTGGGATCCACCCTGGAGTAGTAGCAGGGGAACTTCATGCCGATCTTGGTGTACCTCTTCAGCCAGATGGTACAATTGAGCATGGGCGGATAACCGCATCCCTTGACGTTCGGGAAGAGCCGGGCGCCCACATAATAGTACATGGAGCGGTTGCCCATCAGGCCCTCATTCAGCTCGGAGATCTCATCGAAAGGTCGCCGCTCGTCGGGAATGAGGGTTCCCGAGGCACTTAGTCCGCGCGTATCCTCCGAATCCTCGATGAGGTAGCCGTTGGAGCCATCGGCATCTCCGAAATTCAGCTGCTCCAGCCGCCCGCCACCCAGGTCGATGTCCAGGCCGGTCCCGGTGCCACCTAGGTTATCGTACTCGTAGTCGCTCCTCAGAGCCCTCTCGTAGCGATCCGTTCGCTTGACGGGCGGCAATATGCGCTCCGCTTCCTTGAGATTGATGTGGTACTCCGTGAAGTTGAACTCATCGGTGTAGTTGTACAAATTGAGGCGATAGTTCACCCGGATCTGGGTGCACGTGTAGATATCCTTGGTGCAGCCCTCACGGCAGGACGCCCACGAGCAGTTCTTGGCCCCGTAATAGATCTCTGTGTCGTAGGTCTCGCACAGGGCCGGCACCTCCTCGAACTGCATGAAGATCGTAGTGAAGGCGGGCTCGATGACGAAGGGCACCAGGAAGAGGAAGGCGAACAGGCTGAATGTGCCCAGCAGGATGAAGAAGGCGGTGGTGTAGAACAGCAGCTTCTCCTTGCCGGTACGCTTGTCCTGCTCGTCTCCCATATTTTAGCTCGATTTTGGTCGGGTTTTTTGGAATCTACTATATATTATAATTCTTAGTTTAAGGCGCAGGTCTGGCGGTGGCGGCGGCGGAGCAGAGCGGCGATTAGTGCGGTTTAACTTAGCTTACAATTGCGGCGATTATTGATCGATAACGATAACTACGAGCTAGATAATTACGATTACGATTACGGTGCAAGTTATATCACAGGGAGAGTTCGATTTCTCGTTTCGTTTGCTTTTGCTTTTGCTTCTTCTTCTTGGGTTGCCTGGCTGTCCGGTGTCCCGTTATCTCGCACATAGCTGGCATTTGCAGGCTGAATCCTGCATTTTTACGCACGGCGGCATCACTCGATTAGGCTAAATACTCCACGGAGCCCGAGTCCCACGCATCCTGCATCCTTTTTCCACTTGCTCTCTTCCTCTCCAGCTTCCTGCTGCCCCTCCTCCTGCTCCTTCTCCTGGCAGTGGTGGCTAATTCCGAACCCTTGCTAATTGCTTTATTCGTCCCAACGGAGATGTTTCGTCAACATCAGCACGCTGCAGTCCTCTGGCTTTTGCCTGATTTAGCTGCTTCTTGATTATTTTATGACTGCGGCAAAGGCCAGGATATTCGTGCGTGTTTGAGCGTGTGTGAGCGTGTCCTGTGTGTGCTTTTGAGTGTGTATGTGTGTGTGTGTTTGGCCTGCCAATGGCCAGTTTTGAGGTCTCTCTCCTTCCTCTTCTCTCTCTGTTTCTGCTACTGCCTTTTTTCACTTTACATTTACATTCTTTAAATGTGTGTAGAAAAAAGAATGCTGGACGGACAGTTAGTTTTTTGTTTTTCTTGTTCACTTTTTTGCTTTGCTTGGCTATTTCTCGCCTTCTCGCTTTCTCTCTCGCTCGCTCTATCTCGTGCTATCCTTGTTATTCCTGCCACGTGCAGTTCAGTTCACAAATGCTGTAAGAGAGTGTGGGTGTGTGTGTGTGAGTTTTAAAATACCGTTAGGCCGCGCTTTGCCGTTAATGCGTGTATATTTTTGAAGCCCAGAAAGGTGACGATGGTTATTTTTATGTAACCTCGAGTGTTACGAAACGGAAACACGCGGCACGGCACCAATGAGCTCAACTCTCGTTGTGTTTAAATAATAAAACTCCTTCGATGCATTTGGTTGGGGAGAGGGTCGGGAGGGGGTTGGAGACAGAGCGGAGCCACATGTAATTTTCAATTCATTTGGCACGCTTTCACTCACACACATACCAGTAAGCCAACTGGAAACAGGCCGTGCACATGCAAGCCCACCGCTCACACATATAAGGACTAGAAACTCTCACATACACAGAGCCTTAGGGAAAGGGGGCTTGGTGGGGAGGAGAGAAAGAGAGGGGCAGAGAGCCAGCCCCAATCGAAATTATGCGGCAAAGGACCTCCTCTCAAAGGAGTGAGTGAGTGGGATAGAGTGGAGCCAACTTCTTGTGCCTAGCACGAAACGATTTTTTAGCAGGCCCTATATAAAGATTTGTAAGAACCCCCCGTTCCCAACCCTTTTTGAATTTTTTTGAGATCAATTAAATGTAGTTGAACTACAAATTTCATGTATTTTGGTTTGGGTGGCCCCTCAACCCAATCCCCCTTTCCCCCACGCCCCTTTCAAGCTCTTGTGACGTAGAGTTGCGTGCTCCCGTTAGTGTGCTCATGTGTGTGTGTGTGTGTGAAAGTCCGACTTGCGCCTGTGTGTGTTTACTCAAGGTTCAGGTTACGCGGTGAACACGATGACAACGGAACGGGGATTACGCATTTTCAATCACAAATCACCAGCACTGTATTTGCTGTAAATCATATTTCGTAAATTTCGACTGGGCTAACACACTGTTTACCATCGCACAAGAACAATAGTGACCTGATTGCGCACGGGGTCAAAAGTTAGCTAGCACTGAACAATCGCCACATTCACGCTCCACATTTTCTTTCGTGGCATTTTTGGTTCCTCTGGCTGCCTTCTTTTGGTGGCCACAATACACAGAGACGGAGCGACAACGACAACGACAACTACGACGGCGACGGCGACAACCAGAAAAAGGAGCACGGCGACAACACGACGGCTGAACTCTTCAGCGAAAGGACTGCCTGCCACTGGCAACGCTGCAGCGGAATTAAGGGCCCAAGTCCAACTGGAGCTTGAGAGCGGAGCGGAGCTTTCGCCTGCACCGCCGACGAGCTCAAGTCGCAGGGCTCCCCTTTTAGCTAATAACTGGCCAGATCTAGGAATGCCCTATTGGAGGTAATAAAAATGTTCTCCATTTGGCTAATCTTCTGGGTTGAACACAGCTTTTGGCAGCTTATAGGGCCGCATTCCATCATGTAATGCTCCCTGCTTGGGCGCCATGTAAATGATATAGGTCCAGGCAGCGGGAGATCCAGAATTTGGTTGGGTGCGTGTGGTGGGGGAGGAGAGTTTAGAACAAGTGTTTCGTAGTATCTTACACAACATTCTGTGAAAGACATCATCCCAAGATTTCCCCCCAAAAAATGTGTTAACAGAGATTTTTGTTTATCTTAGCTAATAATAAACTATCACGGAGGGACTTCCAGTAAGGGTCTTGCATATTTTCTAAGCTACTTACTAAAACTATTTTCTGACACAACCCTTAAACAGTCATTAAAATTTAAATCTTCAAATCATTGTACAAAAAAGACATTGCCCACTTAAAAAAAAATTTAAATATAATCTTTATAAAATGTATTGCTTATGACAAAATGATTAAAAGAACTTAAAAAAAATAAAAATAAATTAAAAATTTTTTTAAAATAACTTTCCAGTTACCTTTAGCTACCTTCATGGTCGTTCTTGAACCTCTCACTTCTTGGCATCACTGGCCAAAGCTCTCTCTCGCCCATTCTCCCGCTGGGAGCAACAGCGGCCAGCGATGACGTAAAGCCAGCCGGCGCAGGCGCCCGCCGATCCCCGCCAGAATGAGAGGCCTCCGCTGGGCGAAAGCTGAGAAGTGTCAGAAGTGGCGTAAACAGCAGGGAAACGTAACGAGTTCGAGTTCGCCTGTTTGGAATTTTCTCGGCTCGCCCAGCCACGGGGAAATGGTGGAAAAGTGCAGAAACGCAGCATTTGTGGCACTTGGTTAGCTAAGGAACCAAAAGGATATCCAATAAACCGTCGAGACCCGTCGAGGAGTGAGCCATGTGCGGGTTATGAAACGATTTTGATGGGCACACTGCTGTGCAACTGTGACTGCGATTGCGATTGCTGCAAGTGTATTGGTGTGGTTAAACCTGCCCCCCACGCCCACCGCCACCGTCACCGCCCCCCCCTTTTCCCCGCGTGTGCGTGTGTCCCAGTGGCAGGAACGTAAATAAACCTCAACACTCCGAGCTGAAACATCCATAATTTACATGTGAGTACTGCCATTTCGATCTGAAATGGTATCGAATACAGATCCTTCGATGACCCTCAAAAACCGTTGCCTACTTCTAAGCGCATTTCCTTTCCCATTGATTGGCATGCAACTAGAATTTCTCCCTGTGGCCATTGATTATTCCATTTGTGACTGTGCTAGTGCCTGTGATAAAAAAGTGGAGCGTGTCCAAGTGGTGGTGTCGATGGGAAGACGATCTGTGACCAACTTTGTGATACCCTGTAGTCAGTTCAATAACTTCCCTTGGTCAATATTTTACCACTTGAGAAGATTTCAATTAATCCTAGGAAAGTTCCTTTAAGAACTACGTCATTGCACTCTATTTCTATCAAACCATTGACATTAATTTTTTATGACACGGGACACGGAATATTTATAAAAATAGTACCTTAGATAGTGATGAGTACCTGATACTTAAATGTGCGGTTGTAAGTTGTATTGCTTTAACACGAAATCACAAAAAAACAGTTAATATTAACTGGGTTATTACGGCTTTACTTATACATCAAGCCCATCAAAGAGTTATTTTTAGAAGAATTTCTTACAACTTTGTGTAAGTACATAGTTTAATATAACGATATAATTTTTAAATTCCTACTTAGAAGTTTCTGCATCTTTAGTAATTATAGTACATTTTTATAATATTCGCGAATTTTTATTAGGCTTTTCATAGCACCGGGTTTTTAACCAACGTTAAAAAAATTAATTTAAGTAATTAAAATTAAGCCGCCAAACCGGTGTTGAAAATGATAAGCAGTGTGTGTGTTAGTGTTGGTCAACGTCCGGTAGAAGGGGATTTTGGTGAATCGCGTTAGGGTATTTCATCTGCCACAGATGATTAATAAAAACAGAATTTAATTTGACGCAAAAGGAAAGTTGAGCGAGAAACAAGGAGCTGACATGGAAGTCATCCTGATGATCATCTTCTTCACCGCCTTCTGGGTGGCGGTGGCCAAGTTCGGACCCATCCTGGTGAAAAAGGGACCTCAGGATGATCTGGTGCGCTGCATCTTCCTCCTGACCGCCGTCGTCTGCTGGCTTTTCTGGCTCTGCTGCTATTTGGCGCAACTGAATCCGCTTTTGGGACCAAAACTTAATGGAAACACCATCAGGATCATCGCCAAGTCCTGGGGAAATCCCATTAAGGAGGGATAACGAAGATCCCGCGATGGGATCTCTACATAGTTAATCTCTGGCGGAGCCATCTTCTTCAGAATTCCCATCTGCAGCCACATCACTCGGAAACATTTTTGTACTTTAATAGTGGCACCTAGATAAGGTTGGACTATCCCATCCCCAGATACGCCCAACTATTTCCAAACTAACATCATTACCTTATACTTATTGATATTGTGAACTCCTACTTTGAACATGAGCTTGTTTTGATATCTCAACATCTCTGATCAGCATATCACTCTTTTGTATTTATTGTTTTATGTTTACAATTGTTTTTTACAAAGCACTAGCCATGTTCTTATTCACTTCCAACTTATGAAACAGATATTTGCAATATAATGTTTTACAAACTTGCCACATAAGCGATTTTTGAGTAGTTAAACAGATTATTACGAACTTAGTGTTTCCCGTTTTGTAGATAATTTTACTAATCAGTCATTGTATTTGTGATTTAGTTATTGGCAAATATAGAACAATTTTTGCGTTTACTATAGATTTTAGTATGACTTTTATTCGTTCGTTTGTTGACTTGCTACGGTGACTCTTTTATTCAAGTGCACTTTATTAATACGAACTCTAATATACATGCCCTGAAGGTCTAGCAATACTAATAGTTATTTCTATCAATAGATATACTCAACAACTATTTTACATGTTATAGAAATTGTACTCCTACTTTTTACCAGCAGGAAACTTTTACACATTATATTTACAAAATCAAAACATAACCGATGCCCGAGATGCGAACAACATATGAGTAATATACCCATTTGAGATAAGGAGAGTACATTTGTATATGTTTTTAAGGGCTACAACAAAATACTGTTCTCAATTTAACATGTTAATTTTTTAAAATAGCAGTATGATCTAATAGTCAAATCATTCAACGACTTAATTTATTCATGCACTGCATCTCTTTGCAATAGTGAAATTTCAAAGTTAAAACTGGTACTATTTTTAAAATGTTGCCTCTCCGAATAGGGTTATTGTATGAGCCCATTAACATGGTAGGGGGCATGAGCAGTGGTTGACCATCCATAACTGGAGCAAACACAAAGCCACCGCACATGGCACACGGTGCACTTGTACTCTTGGCCATGTGGAGGCCGACTTAATCAATGGGAACTCTCGCTGGGAATGGGAGCCGATTGGAGCCAGCTTGGCGAGCGTGGGCGGAGGTGAAGGGTGCTCGTGGTCCGGGAACCCAGAGTTTGGGGCATGCGGGGATGCTCTTTGTACAAATGTGGAACTATTGATTTTGCAATAAAAGTGCGCGCGCAGAACCGAGATTTGTGCCAAAAGTGAGAGCAGCGAAATTCACGAGACCCGCCACGATGTGTGGCATGTTGTCGGCGGTCAGTGAGGAGAGTTCCGGAGAGCTGGAGACTCTGGAAAACCCGGAGACCAAGCCGAGCCGAATGCAGTCGCCAGTGCGGAGCAGAAAGCCTTGGGTCACGAGCCACCAGCTGCCAGTAACTCGAAGGGAAAAAATAGTTACCACAAAATACAGCACTGCTCCAGAATTACCAAATAATTGTAGATAATTTATAGAAGCCAATTACCGAATAATACTAGAAAAAATAATAACTAAAGGAATCCCCTTCAGCCGTGTGAATCCTCCGAAAAACCCTCGGCACGTGATGCAACTAACGTATGGATGGGGACACCCAGTGATTAAAGTGAATTTTTGTGGGGTCAGCTAGCCAAAAATCGATAGGTTGGCCTATCCGAAAGACGTGTCCTCCAGCTGGAAACGTGCGCAGCCTGCAAAGTTCCTTAGGACCAAAGGAAAAGTCAGAGGAAAATCTCAACCTACGCAGAGTTATATAACATACAACACCGCCCACGCAGTTTTGCAGCTAAATCGATAGACTAAAAACCGCGACATGACGAGCTTCTAATTGGATTGCACGCGAGGGATTAACCACTGGGCTTTAGAGGCACCACCACTACTACTACTAATACCAGGAATTACAGGGTAGTTGAAGGTAGTTTTCAAAAGAGATGGGCAAGAAGAAGGTGCCCGTTGAGGACCTAGTGGTCCCACCGCAGGACACACGGATATGCGGCACCATATGCATTTGCCAGATGACCCTGGTCCTGAGCTCCGTGGCCCTGGTCTACCTAACGGTGGCCATTTACATGCCCTCCACCAGGGCCTTCAAAAGCGGCATCGATCCCACGCCGGTCATGTGCACCACCACGCGGGCGGTGAACAAGGATAACTGCGAGTGGGGCAGCTGCGGGGAGTGGTGCCTCAGCAAGACCTCCGGCGCCTGCATCCAGATCTACGTTAACCTCCGCAGCAACGGCAGCAATCTTATATTCCAGAACTGCACCAATTCGGCGAATAAAACATGCTATGGCATTGACCAGGATCGGGCCGATAAGGCCAGGTGCATCAACGATGAGTGCAAGAATCTCACGGGAACCTTCAACTGCACCGCTGGCCAGTGCCTGAACATCACGGATGCCTTCGAGTGCGTCTTCCACAACAGCGATGCACCCGTCAAGTGTTCCGGGAGGCGGGGAAAGATCAACTGCATGGACATCAGTGGTCTGTACTCGTGTAGTCGAGGAACCTGCCGGAAGATAAGGACTCCCTACAACTGCGACCGGAGGTGTGTGGATATACCCACCCGGAACAAGAACGTGGTGGTTCTCAGTGGTGACAAGGTCTATCTATCCCAGTGTCAGAACGCCATCAATGCAGAGACCCTAGAAGAAGTCTGGAACGAATCGAATGATAATGTGGCCATGACATCCTGCTACTTCATCAAGAACACCTCGGATCAGGTGGATGCGGTGGACTGCATCAATGGTTCGACCCTGGAGCACAACATGCTCAGCGATCTGACCAACTTCACATATCTGAGCCACCTGCACGTATCGGTGGCCACCCCGGTGCCGGAAATAGCACCACCCGATGTGGATCTGACCATTTCCAATGAGTCGAAGCTGATGATCAATCTGGAGGGGTGTGTGAACACCCTGATGGACGAGTGCAAGGAGTTCCTCAAGGACTTCGGACGGGATGGCAGCGATCACAATGCCAGGGCTCGCTTCCCGTGCTTCTATTCACCCGGCAAGAAGGAAATAGTGGTGGCCCGTTTCGACCTGGAGGTCACCTATCGCCAGTTTGTGTTCGCCTCGGTGGTGCCATCGGTTCTGTTTGTGGTCTCCTGTTCGATCCTCATCATGTGCCAGACCACCGTTTACGTGGGCGATGATGCCAAGATGCGGTTCAAGGGATGTGTGGACACGGATACCGTCTTAAATAAGAATAACGTGGGCGCACCCACCAACGGAGACATGGGCGGGGGCGGCGGCGATGAGGTTATGGCCCTATGAGATCCGTCACGTAAGCTATATAGTATACTTATCCCATTTTCGGGACCTTGTCTTTAATGTATTTTTCTGATGACTTGCAGTCTTCGCGGTAGCCCACATGTGAGAGGTCTACCAGGTGTTCTAGGTCTCTGGAGTGATCTATTTGCGTTACTAATTATACCAAAATTTCATAGACAATAGAGCAGTCTCTATATTTATCCTACCTAAATAATTCCACAAATAGTTAGTCTAACAGAAATGATATAAGAGAATAGATTTGACACCTCTCCCAAATTTCTTTTTAGAAGAGTGGATAGAATAGCCCTATTCGATCTAACTACTTGAAACTGATATATAAAATACTAATAACACTTAATTCCCAGATATTTTAGATAGTTTTATTATTTCCCCTTTGAAGTTACCTTTTGTAAACCCCTTAACTTATATGCTATTTAATGTTTTCCAGGCATTCCTCTGCTCCAGGAAGACAGTCCGACACACCAGACGGGAGTCTTCGCTTTGCAATAATTGGAGTTGGGCACCAGCTGAAGTCAGAAACACAATCGAGCAACTTGAAATTCTTTGTAATCCTTCCATCGAACTTTTGACACTGCAAACACCCAGAAACACACAGAAAGACACAGAGACACGGACCACACCTCAGAGGCTTGCAAGGACACTCCTGAGCTAACCAGGAAATACTGAAACTCAAACCGAAACCAAAAACCGATATCCCATGCGAGGCGCTTGACATTTTCAAGATACGACGATCGGCAGATCTGAAGACAATATTAGTATAATTTTCGACTCTTAAGTTGAGCAATTTTTTTGGGACTAGGGCCAGAGGCTACAGGACTTGTAGGATAACAGGAGATTTAAGGGCGGTGCGAGAGATTAAATTTAAAATTGTTGCTATTATGGAACTTAGTTTTATCTAGGAAATAAATGCGCACAAACCCACACCCAAATGCACAGTACACACAAACACACACAGAGATACACCCACACACACACACCAGACACCAGAATCGGCTGAAGATATAGAAGATTTATAGAACCAGGTTCAGTCACCGGGAGAGAAGGCAGAGAAATTCAAAAATGGCTTAGAGTGAGGGATGCGTGATCAAAAAAAAAAAACTAAAAGAAATCTCGTAACGACAACTAGTCGATGAAGTCAAAGCAAAAGTTAACCCCCAAAAGGCTAACAGAAAACATAAGCATTAATTTAGAAAACGAAAAAAAGAAACTAATATACAAGATATAAACCCAAAAAATACAAAATAAGAAAAACATTTTCCATTTCGGCTATAAAAATAAGGCAGATGGGCAGGAGATCGTTAGAAGATTAGGCTAAGGAATCTCCAAGAAAGCGAGAGAAAGTGTAGATCCTAATTGTTGTAGAAAGCGCGTATGTTAGCGGTGTTCATTTTAAAGGCTTTTACCGATCCAACTAAAATCTAAGCACCCCCACACACAACCCTACACCCACACAGAAGAAAACCAACAAAGTCTCCGCCATGAAGAAGAGCTCCACGCTGACCACGACCACGTCGATGCCGGCGAGTCCGACGCTCTCGGCGCAGACGCTCTCCGCCAGCAAGATCAGCCTGAACAGCAGCCGGTGCGGCTCGGCGGCCTCGGGATGCGGATCCGCAGCCGGTTCGATGCGCTCCGCCTGCCAATCGCCGGTGAGGCCGGGGAGCGGATGCGTGGACGCCATCAAGGCCAAGCGCGAGGAGATCGAGATGGACACGCTGCTCGAGAAGGCAAAGTTCTATACCTCCGTGTGCCTTGGTGAGATGGCTGGTTTTTTCTACTGTGTGTAAACGATGCAGCGGTCTAAAAAGCTTAATTTGTCATTTAAGATCTTTCACTGCCCTATGTACCACATATATGGCTTCAAGGTTGATTCACCCATTGATTTCAGTGTGAAAAACTAATGCTAGATCTGCAAAGGCAGTTAAAAATTGTATTTAAAGCCTGCCGCTGCATCGTTTACAGCCCACTTGACCTTTGGACTCGCTTGGCTAACTAGTATATCTCAACCCACAGGTACGACTGCCATTTTGTCGGTGTTCACATTCCTCTTCCTGATACCCTTCGTCGTGGACCCCGCCATCTCAACGATCATAGCCGATTATGATCCTGTGCCGGTGACCTGCATCGTCATCGATCACATCTACGCGGAGGGCATCAAGAACTGCAGCTGGAGCTCCTGCCGCGAGGGCTGCACCTCATCACTCACCAAGTGGGTCTATGATAACCAAGATGATATATATTTACTAAGTAATGATATTCAATACCAGGTGCCATCAGTTGTTTGTCAACTACACGCGCATCCCGTTCAGCGAATGGGAGCGTAATCCTCGGGACCTCGACACGGTCAACTGGGATGTGAGCTATACCAAGTTTCTGATTAACTCAGAGGGCTGTGGCTATCCGCCCACGACCAATTGCAGTGTATTCGCCAGGCAATACGGGTGAGTTAAAAAAATCCTTAAAAATACGTCTTCAAGTTGGTAATTATCTGTAATACCCAACCAGGTTCTCACACATTGGGGAGCCCTTTCCCTGCTTCTACAGCAGGGCGTATCCGGAGGTGGTCATCGGTCGGTACTCGTGGGAGAACAACCTGTACCATCTGATCCTATCGCTGATCATACCGAACGTGCTCTTCGCCATCTCGATCGGGGTGCTCAGCTATTGGTACTGCCCGTGCTGCGAGAAGGCCTGCAACAAATCCTCGCGGGTCTACGCCGAGAAGTTCCCGACCAAGGAAGAGTGAGTGCCATTCATGTACCAGCGCTGTCCTGCATCTTGTTCTCATTCATTGCGAAAGTTTGGCAAATTTACAACCCCTCGTATCCGTATCTGTATATTGTAGTAGACACTCACCCAGATCCATGGACATAAAAACTCATTGTGCCTTGTATGAAGATATTGTCGAAAACCAAAAAGTCGTATTGTCATGCTGTATCCTTATTATATGAATGTAACTTATCCTTTTGGTTAATCGTTAAGATATTGGCCTGATCCATAAGTCAAAAACATGAATGTAACCCTTAGTTCCCTTGTTTAATTTTTTCTCCCATAAGCCTTTATATTTGATTGGCTCCTTTGTTATCTTTCTCTTTACTACTCTATATTACTTTCAGGATCGTTAACTGCATGAAATGTAACACGGAAAAGTCGTTGTCCTTGAATGTATTTTGAATATGATCTAATCAATGCGAGAGTGCCTGAACTTTGATCCCCAGAAATGTATTGTGATAGGTTAAGTGCGGTGGTATTTGAATATATCCCTGGGTCCCTCGATCCGGATTACTTGCACATATTGTGTGGCACCCAGTTCGCTTGTCCACTAGAAAAAAAACACCCACATCAAAAAGAAACCAAAAACGAATTGTTACTCTGAAGTGTCCTTAGCAATTGCTGCCTTCCTTAATAATCTCCAATTGTAGTCGTATAAAATCCAGCACCTCAAGGATTTTCTCTAACGCACAACAACAACAACATCCCTTTTGAAGGGAATTTCGTATGCTATATACACACGTTCACTCAAAACCAAAGAAACAATCAAAACTCACAAGAAAAATACTCAAAATATTAAAGGTCTAGACTCAAAACAATACAGATATATTACAAAAGGTTTCTTTCAGGTTTAAATGAATTAGTTTACCCTCGGGATCTTAGCATTTCCCAATTTCTCTACTTATTAAACCCATAATTATATATTTACATATCGAATACCTTTTAAATTTAACGAACTTATATTAGATATGCTTTAGAAAATGTTTTGCATGCTTTTGTTTTAATCTATTATTAATATTTGTTAGTTTCGATTCTAGAATGGCATGATCCGTTTATCCCAATCTACTTAGCATACATATATATCGCTTATATCTGACTAGCATTGATTAAGAACTCTGTTCCAATCGCATTCCAATTCTAGCAAACTTCTGTGTCACAGTGACGAAGATGATGATATGGAATACTAGCAAAAATAATATTAGTTAAAGCCCTTAACAAATAGCAAATTCAACTTTGTAGTCTGTACCACACATAGCTTACCTAGATATATATACAAACATACAATATAGAAATTCCATTTGCCATCACATCGGACGATATATATAGATATATATGAAAATCAAGCGGAGCATCGCCGAAGGAGTAACTTTTTCTCAGCCATTTTATTCGAAATTTTGCGCTCAAGAGATTTGTTAACATAAACTTTGCCATCATATTGTTACGCTAGTTATATACGGACCTTTGGTTGGCTTAACTGGCTTTTTTAGAGGCGGCAGCGATGCTCCAACTCTCGACTTCGATTTCCACAGAGATAATACCAATACCAATTAAAGAATCGCTTGTTTTCAACAAATTGTGATAGTAGTCATAAAAATATTAAGTAAATTCGTAAAACTAACTAAAACGGAAAGCGAAAACCAAAAAACCAATCAAACAAACAATTGTATAGAACCGATTCCGCTCCGGGCCGTTAAAAAAAATCCAAAAATCACGGCAAAGATTCATAGAAACGGGGCGGTACGGACTCCCAGAGACCCAGAAAGATAGATTTACCACAAGATACCAGATACAATCCATGGGGATAAGCCGCGGAACCAAATTATTCACTCACAACACGCTCACATTGGGACACTCTCAACATTTTTGAAATAGTTTTAACGATCTTATGTAAAAACCAACATCTAAACGGATTATAACAATATATATACATAGATATATACGTATACATATAGCTTAGCAGAACCGATATAACGCACGTTGCTTATGAGAATTTTTTAAATCATACAAACCAAACCGAAGAACAAACCAATTTGAATGCAAAACGATTAAAATTTTTTACTTAACGTGTCTTTATCAATAAACAAATTAAACCAGCTAACGGCCTATTTAATAAACAATTAAAAAAAATGAAAGAAACCAAAACAAATGTGGAGAAATGCTAAAAAAAAAAAACAAAAGCTGTTTTCATTTATCAAATTCTGGGAGAGAGTAGCGAGGTGGAGGGAATCCTCTCCAGGCGCAGGCGTGTTTCCAAGGATCTGGAACCATTTGTTGAGCTGGCTCCATCCCTGTCCCGGTTTCCATTTCACTCAAGGGTTTGTTTTGGCCTGTTTCCCAGCTTTCACTTTCGCTTTCGAGTAAAAAGTAAAAGTGCGCAGTGTCCTTTCTTTGGCAGCCCTGGCATGCCGTACTCCTTCCGCTCCGGGATTCAGTCAGGACTCAGTAGCTGTCGGGAGCGGACGTGCGAAAATCGGGGAAAAAACGGTCCCCAAAACAAGCAGAACTCATTCATCAAACATAGACGTCCCAGTTCCTACACCTTTCAATCCTTATAAACCCCCCTGAAAGCCCAAGTACAAGTAATTTTAAAGTCCAAATATAAATAAGCAAAGCTAACTAAAATAGAACGGCACAAGAATCCGCCCACCCCCACCACAAACAAACAAACTACCCACCCACCAAAACACCACCACCACCCTCCAAAACGAAACCCACCCAGCAAACAAAAAAGGAATCACCTTGAAAACGGCATTGGTTGCAAGTATATAGGGAATCATTGGGCAGGAGGACCACGGCCGGAAAGTGGGCCACCAAATCAACAAGTCGTAAATTAGCCCCACACCCAGGAATCACCACCAGGTGGAGACCCACTCCTCCGGGATAAATGGCGCGGCGCAAGGACAAGCCGCGGGTGATTCCCGAGCAGGATGCACGCATCTGTCGAGCCATCTGCCTGTGCCAGCTGACCATGGTGCTGTCCTGCGTGTCCATCGTCTACCTGAGCGTGGCCATCTACTCGCCCTCCTTGAAGTGGGTACCTACTATATATAGCCCCCCGTAAATATATATAATTTATTTATAAATCCCTTCCTTTATAGGGCCTTCAAGTCGGGCTTCGAACTCGATCCGGTCATGTGCCAAACGGTGGACCGCCAGATGCCCAACAACTGCCCATGGGCCTCCTGCGGAGAATGGTGCCTGACCAAGACCAGTGGCTTCTGCCCCCAGATCCACTCCATAGTGCGTCGCAATGGCACCGATATACAACTGAACAATTGCACTCGGGTGGCCAACACATCCTGCGCCATGGTGAGTTCCTATGGCCGTAATACCTCTCAAAGGTAGTAAAAAGTTGAGGGAATAACTCTATTTATAGCAACCAAAGCCAGTATAAACTTTAAACTTCAGGAAAACCTAGTTGATGTTGCAATAATACAATGCAGCCCTGTTTCTTATAGTAGTATTGCTAAAGGTTATTGAGAAGGATTTTTTACAGAGCAGCTTATAAGGAAAGCATCATACTTCAATCATATACTATATAATATATATATATATATAATCAGTGTAATAGTGTTTTGATTATTTAATTATTGGAATTGGTTTCTTAGTAAATTGATCGGGGGTTTATTGTTTTTTCAATAAAATATATGTTTCTTTAAACAACAAATCCTAATTTTCCACTACAAAACCTTTTCCGACCGACTGTAGCAATACCTTTACCTATAGACCCAACCCAATACCACCCACCGCCTAAGACGTCATCGTCTTGGGCATCCCACTATAAGGAAAGTGCTAACATGACTCATTCTTAGCCCACTTAAGGTTGTGGCCACTAATGGGAAGGCGATGAGGCATGTCAAGTATTTGCCCCTCCGTCTTTATGGACACTTGGCGCCACGAGAGTTTAACGATCATTGAAAGACCATTATCCTTCGTTCCATCCTTGCAGATTGACCTGAGTCGCCTGAACAAGTTCAATTGCAACAATGGCACCGCCTGCAATAACATCAGGGGAGTCTTCAACTGCTCCAATGGTATGTAATACACTTGTGATTTATAAGATACCATTAACTGATTACTTTCACCATAGGACACTGCAAGAATATGTCGGAGTTCTTCCTGTGTCACCACAAAGCAGATGGGCATACGATCAATTCCCAGAAGGACAACACCAAGCTGAATGGATTCTTCGAGTGTCATGGAGTACACTGCACCAAGATCAAGAAGCCATTCAGTTGCGATCGTTACTGCTCCAAGATAACGACTACCAATGTCAATACGCTTATTATGCATGTAAGTAGAAAATAGAATGGAATATAAGCTGGAAAGTCCTATACTCATACCAAAACCCATACTATAAAAAAAGAATTGGACGCTGTAGCTTAAGAAGTTTGGAATCTGCGCTGATTCCTAAAATTATAAAGAGTTGTTTATATAGAAGATTTATAATTAGGAAGACAATGTCATCTCTGCCGATTGTGAGAACGCAGTGGCCTTCAACCAGGCCCGAGGATCCGAGCATGGAGTTCGCATCGAACCCTTTGAGTTCTGGAAGGAGGATGATGGCAACCTGTTGACCAACTGTGCCACAGTCACCAAAGAGTCAGATAATCGCATCACGTGAGTCTAGAACCCACTAAAATAATAATGATTTAAATAATTACACCAAATCCCAAATAGTGCCACGGATTGCCTGAATGGCACCCTCTTGGAGCATGACACCTTGCCCGCCCCCTTTATGAACTTCACCCAGTTCTGGGCGATCTATGATAACAGCACCCGATCGGTGGATCCCGAGCAGAGGTATCTGCCCAACCAGGCCAACTTGACCATATACAGCTGGAAGAAACTGTTCATCAACCTGGAGGGCTGCGTGAATACCCTTCGCGGGGAATGCAAGGACTTTGTGGCTCGCTATGGCAACGATGGCGATAACAATACCGCCCAGTCACGCTACCAGTGCTACTATAACAAGGTATGTGGGGAACTCTCGGCCCTATTTGAAATTCATTTCTGGTATCGGATTACTTGAGGTCTCTATTCCGTTTCACAGGATTCAAATGTGGAGTTTGTGGTGGCACGCTACGACTTGGACAAGGTGTACAGGGAGCTTGTCGTATCGCTGATAGTGCCTATTGTGCTCTTCGTGGTTTCCTCTATATCGTTATGTATCATCACCAAGTCCGTCAAGGTGGGTTGTTTATTATATACTTATAGGATATACAAAGATTTAAAGTCCCATTAAAAATATTCTATACTATTTAATGGGATTTTTAAAATATATTTCTTTGACTAATAATCGCAGAACCCAATGAACCCATATCATATCTCAAATTTTCAGGTGGGTGACGATGCCAAAATGCGTTGCGTTTGTGCCGGCGACGATTCGGATAACGATGATAATGGCTTTGGCCCAGGAATGGCCAACAAGGCGCAAGATCAAATGTACGATACGGACGACGACGTGGTCGACTTGGAGCACCAGGCCGTAGGTGGTCAGGAGTTATCGGACCATGGACTTCCGCTGGACAATCAAGAGATGATCGGCAGCACCAAGTCGCTGATACCACTAAGTCCCGCTGGAGATTCAGGAAACAGTGAGCAAAATTACGACCAGGATGAGGAGAAGGCCACTACCTGCGATGTGCCCGAGAAACCATTGGTTATTCTCTAAGCTGATTAACCGGGCAAGTCATATAAAAAAAATAGGATTCCAAATAGGATCACTCCTGGAAGACCATCAAAAACAGCACCAAACTTTAAGGACCTGTGTATTGTACAAGGGGAACTGAATTTAAATTCTACTCAGCGCATTTATACAACGTTTACACCAACTAACAGAGAAATGGAACGGATCTTTACTTTTCTTGGTTGAATAAGGATAATCACACTTATATACTGAATTTATAGCCCCCAGATGAACAACGATGAGATGGCCGAGCTTTATTTACCCAAAAACCCCAATCTAACAGTTCCAGCAGATGCGCCTTAGACAAAGTTGCATTTATATAGAGTATATAGCATAAACCAACTCACATCTGCTGAATGAAAAAGAAAAAAACACCAGGACAGACCAAGAAAGCAGCCTCGTCTAGACATATAGGATATAGGCATCCGACTCGCCTTAACTCTCGACTTTGTAGCTATGCAATATTCAACGTTTTCTTAAACTAGTTAAATCGAAGGAGCAACAGTACCTACTTATATCTGATATACTTATAATCGTATTATAGCAAATAAAACACCATTTGGAATTCTCTCTATAAAATGCTGGACTCACCTTGAGCTCCTCCTGGCGACGAAAGGCTGCGGCCATCATTTCCTTACGCATGGGATCGGAGATCACAGCTTCGCGACCCGGTGGTCCTTCACCAAGTTGATTGAGCTTTACCACCACCTGGTATTATGTGTTAAGGATGGGTTAGAAAAGGGGGGAGATGCTATTTATAGGACCACTCACCTTAGTTTTGTCGTTAACACCCAAGTACTCGCTCATGAGCTTTCCCATCAGCATCTGTCGTCCTGCAAACCAGAACTGGGCCTTGGAGGGTTCAATCACCTCCTTGGAGGCCTGGGTGCCGGTCAGATCCTCGGTGTTGGTAAACTCCATGCGAATGGTGTCGTGGGGTGGAAGTTGCATGGGATATACAATGGTCACGGCACCACGCAGGAGGTTCAAGGCCTCCTCAACGATCTTTAGGGTCAAGGTCTTTGAGGATTTGGCCAGACGCTAAAGGAAAAGAGGTTTAAATTACTGTCCCATGCGACAGCTGCTGTTCTATAGTTCATCAAGTGGTACCTCCAAGTACAGTACACCTCATAGCTTACCCTATCCACCATGGCCTTAGCATCGGTTATAGCATTTGCCAGAACCTTCTGCATTGCCTCAGAGGGCTGCTGCCCATTGCGACGAAGGAGCGGGTCCTTGTTGATAGTAAAACCACCCGACGGGATGCACTTGTCCGCCCAAACATCCTTTAGTTTAAGCTCCTCTCTCTGCTCCTCGTTTAGGCCAATCATTTCACCCGGCAGCATGGTGCCATGTTCAGCCAGCTCCTCGATCTCCATGCAGACACGTTGGATCTTCAGTTGACCATTGTAAAGGGCCACCAGATCTCGCAGCACAGAATCCGTCTTCTCGTTAACGCTTGTTTCAAACAAGAAGAGAACCTCGTCGCCGCGTTTCACACTTAGAATAACCATTTTGCACAGAAAATATAGATAGAGGAGCAATCGACTGCAGATCAACCTGATAGCTATTAGCAAATGTCAAAAAAGCCGACAGCTGGAAAAGCAAACAACTCGGTTGCTAGGCCCCGTATCGATGGAGACGAGAAAAGGGGGGTTTCAAAACATCTGACTGCACGTTTATTTTAAATCCTTGTGTCGTAAGGTCGAGTTATTGCACAATGCGTTTACTTTCTCATTAAGTTCTGCTTACAAACTCCTCCAATAAATACTATCCTAACTTACAATAAACACCTGCATCCTTCCTGGGCTATTTTTTGTCATTTCTTTTTTTATGAGGGTGATACGGTGCGGTGCGCTAAAGTACAAATAGCCTAGGGTAATAGTTTTGTATGTACAGGGAAGTAGCTATCCTGGGGTTGCTAGCCTCTGGCCGGTCATGTGTTACGAACTATGGAAGGGAAACCGCATTCAGGAAGATGCCCACGATGCATCCCCAGCGATGTGCGTATAAATTAACTAGTAGACTGAGCGGCGGCGCAGAGCTGCTCCTGTGAAGCGTATGGGATCCGGGTCGTCACTCGGTTAGCACGGGTTGAATGGGTTACCTCAGCACGCGCCGGAAGTTCTCCATCTCGTATATGCTGTTTGATAATCTGCAAGGAAATGGGGCATTAGTAACGACCGGTTTTCAAGCATAAGTCGTGTGTTTACTCTACCTGCCAAAAGCATTAAAGAGAGCCACAATCTCCGTACGCGACAGCCTGAAGATGGGATCCGCTTCGATGTGCGGCTTGTCCCAGAGGCCACTTTCCGTAGCCAGGTTGAGCTTTTCCGAGTACAGAATCTTCAGTGCAGTTCCCAGGCCCTGGGTCTGCAGCTTGCCCCAGAGTTTGCACTTATCGCAGCCCACACAGCTCATGATGCGTGATATGTTGCGGAACTTCTCCTTGTAGTCGTGCTTGAACTTAATGGAGGCAATGCCGCTGCTGAAGAGAGCGTTTTCGTCGAAGTGGGATTGGAAATTTCTGCAAGAAGAGACTATATGAATGATTTTCTAACAAAAGAGAAGAAGCCTTTACTCACTCAACGACAGTCAGCATATCGTTGATGGCCAGTTTGACCTCCTCATCTTCCTCGGCTATGCCTGTGTAGTAATCCTCGCGACGCAGATAGGGTGCAGCCTTGGCCAGGGCACGCAGTTCCACAAGATAGATGAAATAGAGGTTCCGCAGCCAGTGCGGACCCTCGCCACCTGTTGTTTCCGGACTAAAGCGTCGCTTGAACTCCTTGGCGTTTGGACCCCAGATGCCTTGTGGATCAAGGAAGTCCTTCGACTCGGAGAGCAGATATTTGGAGCACAAATGGATATTAATGCTGGAGTGGAGACCTGAGATAATGCGGTAAAAGGCGCGCTGTTCCAAGCACACGTCCCGCAGATCCATATGGGGCACGTAACTGGAGAACTTATTGGCCGTTTCGTTGTTGCCACCGAAGCAATTCTCCAAATAGATACTCTTCCAGATGCGGTGTGCCGACTCTCCGCGATATCCGGTATATCGCTCGGGATTCAGAAGCAGATCCACGTACTGGGAGCCCTCCTCATGGTCGTCCACTATACAAAAGTCTTCCTCCGCCTCGTCGTGCTTTGCCCACAGCTCGAACTCCCGGTGCGCCTGGTCGCTAATGCTCGTGTCCAGGAATCCCAGAGAGCTGTCGAAATCCTCGCCATCCGAGCAGGCTCCGCTGTCCCCTTGCGCCTCTCGCGTGTACTGTAAAGATAAGATGCAGTTGAGGAAGTCAGTAAGGTAAGTTAAGCAGTTGTGCAAACAACCGAGCTGAATTTGTAAGTCAGTCATTATTCCATTGAAGTGGGCTTATTGAATTTTAACAAAACTGATTAATGTGTTCAGAAATACATAAATTTTATACATTCCTGAACTGCATTATCGTAACTTATATTTATCTCTTAATTTGAAGATATCTGGTTTTTGTTTCTTTGCACAATGTATGCGTCTGAAACTCAAGAAAAAAAGTCAACAATTTAAGTGTTGTTTATGAAGATAAGAAACACTTCTGCTCAAAGCAATTAAAAAACTGAACATTAAAAAAAATTAGTTTTAAATTATCCTCAATTTTGGATATTATCAGTTTTTAGAATTTTTAAGACTAGGATTGTTCAAGTTAAATTGTAGCATATAGTATAGTCCGAAGTAAATCAATTTGTTTTGTAGATAATTAAGTTCAATAACGAAAAGGGGCGGATGAATGCTTGATGAGATACTAAAACCACGTCAGCATTGGAAAACAAAATCACAGGCCACATCATTAACCGCGTACGGTCATTGGGAGATTGCGGATGCGGTTAATTCTTGAATAGCAGCAAACATTCGAATAAAAATAAACCACCTGCAAAACCCATTGAGTTTTCAGGCAGATAGTGGAGTACCACCGATTTCAGATAAGGGCCGTAGTGTTGATAACTCGGAAATGGTAACACCCGGGCACTTACTTTAAAGGCCGCCTTCTCCTTGTGCTCGCCCTTGTCCTTGATGCCCTGGGGAATGGATTGCTCCTCGCAGTTCTCCACCTGGCAGAAGCGAATTGCACAGCGACTGTCGTCCGGCCAGAAGGGACACTCCTGCCGCAGGTTCACCTTGTAGAAGCGGAAGAAGTTCTTCACCAGCAGACTCTGCAGCCGGGGATACACCTTCATGTTGTTAAAGTGGTCCACTGTGTCCACATCGCAGCTGCAGTCGTTTATAGATCCCTCCAACTGTGAAAAGTATAAATATCATACAGTTTAGGTGGGGATGATAGGGTATATTTATAGTTACATGCGAAAAATAGGCATATCTTGGCATTCTTAACGGAAATTAATTTGAGATAATTTATTAACCCGTTTATTTTCTTGATAACGTTGATAGCAGTTCGAAAATTAATACCTGCCTTTTAAAATCAAAACTTTGATCAGTCGGATTTAATTTCTAAAAATTCAAATATGATACAAGTTAAAGAAGTAGTTGTTTGTGAAAGTTAACATATTAAATAAACAAAAATCAGAAGCTGAAACATCATAAGAAGTCTTTGGGAAAGGATTTTGTCATGAAAACTGGTAAACTATGATGAAATGACCTTTATAGTTCTGTAAAGCCCTCTTCATATATGGTATAGCCACATGCCTAAATTTCCCATATACTATATACACTAATCCGATTTAAACCCACCTCGCAGAAGCAGTTTTTGCTGGTCTTCTCCTCATCGATGGCGGCGAAGTATCCTTTTGTGGAGTCCGTCCAATAAAAGAGCAGGATCAGGATCACCAAGCCGGAGGCCCACAGGTTCCGTTGCACTGTGCGTGTGGTCATTATTATTTTTTTGTAGATAAGTGATGCTATTTGTGTGACTATTGCTGTGACTGGCGCTCTCCGCTGTTTCTGTTGTTATTGGGTTTTTGTTGTTGCGTGCTCAGTTGTTCTCCGTTTCGCCGACGAAGTGCATCTGAATGTGATTTCCCCACCGAAACGAGCACCTGTGATTCGCACTGGGCCAATTTCACGAGTTTAGCGAGTATTTACGTTCCGCAGCAGCAGCATTGTTGATTTACTTTCGATTCATGATTTTGGACACGTACCTTGGCGTGGTGTGACCGCAGTGCTACAAAATACCACAACTGGACATGCGCAATGCGGTCACACCTCACATCAGGTGTTTTTAAATAGAAGATAAACCTGTTATTTCAGCTAACGTTTACAATGTTTATTTCATATTCAGCTTCCCAAAAAACATTAACATGGAAATTTTTGTTACAAGTTTACCCCATGATCAGTTCTCAAAAAATACATTTGAATTTCCCGCCAATTTATTTATAAGGTGTAGAAAATGCAACCCTTTTTTCAGGGCTGAAAAAAAATCCAGAAAGAGGTTGCCAGATCAATAAAAAAAGAACAAATGGAAATACCGCGTAATTTGAAACAATGAAAACATCAGGATATGAAAAATATTATATTATATTATACTTTTTTGAGATATTTGTGACTTTGTTTTATTATTGTATATTATTATTATATATATTGGATATATTTGATTGTTATTCTATTAAATTTTTTTTTTAATATTAATATGACTCTAAAAAAAATTTAACATTTTGTATTAATTTGTTTAAGTTCAAATGTTTTGTGATAGTATCTTAAATATTATTGTTACAAAACTAAGTTATTGTTTGTTATGAATCTTTACATTGATAACCCAATTCATATCCTACTGCAAAAGTTTTTCGGTTTAGATTTGAAATACGATCATACCGCCATGCCAAATGACTTTTGCTGATAATATTCAAGATAACATTCAATCGTCAATCAATTGATTGCTAAATGTGAATATTGTTATGGGTTTTCTTTTCTCCAATATTGATGCTGTTAATTAATTACCTCAAATATTGATTTCGTCTATTCTTCGGCGTTGAATGCATCTTTTGTTCCCATGACAAACCCTTGCACCCCTCAAAAGAGTTCGCGACCCTCGGTATGCAAATTAAGGAAACTCGGTCAAAACTCAGATTGAATCCTTTCCAGCCCAAGATCATCATCATCGTATGTACATCACGCCGGGGGGTGAATTGCTTAGGATGCAGGGCACGGCGATGCTGGGAGCTCGATTATTTAAACATAAATCGCCTTGGGTTTTAAGAAAAATGGACTCGACGGGCTAAATCAAATTTAACCGCAAAAGAAAGGGAAACGAAATTCAAGACGGTAGTTAAATTTACGAAATGTTAAAAAGTATGTCTTGAATTTTAATACTTCAAAAATATTTTTAAGTTATTTTGGTGTTCTAAAATTTTGCATATTTCTAATTGATTAGCTTTTACAATTTAAAACTGCATAAAGATGTAAAGCGTTATATTGTTAAGATGTTAATATATTGTTTTATATTTATTTATGCTCGTCCTCTTCTATGGTTCTTCCAGCTTATACTCTCTCCTTTTATGTATTCCGGTTTTCTTCGATCAAAAT